TTGGTAGTTGGATCGAGCCAGGAATCATCGTCTTTCGGTCCGACTTTCAAGTCACAGAGCACATCCAGCAGCTGAGTAGTCATGATTCAACAGAAACAAGCAGCCAGCAGCCCTCAAACCTAAATCCTAAGCACTATGACCTGAAAACAATAATTGTCTTGTAGGTGATATTTTTTGGCCATTCATTTATTTTCGGCTCTCTCCTTTTCCCTCTACAATGCCCCTCTACACTGTTTCGCACGTTGGCAACCTGCGTGTGTGCGTGGTGATGGTCGGCCTGCCTGCTCGTGGCAAGTCGTTTATTTCGCACAAGATTGTGCGGTACTTGTCCTGGCTATCCATCAAGACAAGGGTGTTCAACGTCTCTTCCTACCGTCGCGAGGAGTACAGAGAACAGCCTTCTGCGGACTTTTTCCATCCAGACAACGAAGAAAGCAAGGTGATCCGTGATCAAGCCAACATTGATGCGATCAAGGACGTCATCAAGTGGATGAATGAGGAGGACGGATGTGTAGCTATTCTAGACGGCTCCAACGTCACCAAGCAGAAACGAGCAACGGTCGCGCAGATCCTGAGAAGCAACAGGGTGGAGCCACTGTTTCTAGAAAGCTTCTGCGACGACGAGGCGATCGTCAAGTCGAATATTTTGGACATCAACTCGACCTCCCCAGATTATTCCGGAAAGCCGCCCGGCTATGCATTGGAGGACATCCTCACGAAAATCAAGTACTACGAGACACACTACGAGCCTATGGACCTCGAGGACGAAAAAGAGCTCAGCTTCATCAAGCTGATCAACGTCAACTCGCAGATCATCATCAACAAGATCGAGAGCTACCTGGAGAGCAGAATCGCGTACTATATCATGAACCTGCACATCAAACCGCGCTACATATGGCTCTCGCGCCACGGCGAGTCGCAGTACAACCTTGAGGGTAAGATAGGAGGCGACGCAGACCTGAGTGAACGGGGAATGAAGTACGCTCGGAAGCTGAAAGACATGGTGGAAAAATATGTTCCCAACCACGACAAGCTCGAGGTCTGGACCTCGACTTTGAGGCGAACGCAGCAAACAGCGCAGTTTCTGCCAAACCCGAAGAAACAGTGGAAAGCGCTGGATGAGCTTGACGCTGGATCGTGTGATGGCCTGACGTACGAGGAGATCGCTCAGAGATTCCCTGAGGATTTTGCGGCGCGCGACGAAAACAAGTTCGAGTACCGATACCGGGGAGGAGAATCCTACAGAGATGTGATCCAGCGGCTGGAGCCTATCATCATGGAGCTGGAAAACCAGGAGAACGTTCTTGTGATCACGCACCAGGCCGTGTTGAGATGTATCTATGCCTATTTCATGAATTCTCCGCAGGAAAAGTCGCCGTGGATGTCGATTCCCTTGCACACACTTATCCGTCTCGAGCCACGTGCGTACGGCACAAATGTCACGCGCATCAAGGCCAACATCCCTGCCGTATCCACGTACAAAGAGAAAGGCACGTCCAAGCTGGGGGAATCGCAGAACTCAGCTCACGTCATGGCCGGCGAGGTGATCACGAGCGATGTTGCAAATCAATAAGAGCACTTGTGTGCCTGAAGTTCCGTCTAGTAATGGAATCATGAGCAATGAAATACTTTGGCAGGTGGGGCTTGACAAGCAGATACTCCGGCGACAGCAGCAGCACTCTTCACCATTCTGAAATGACTCCTCTGAGCGTGCTGGGAAGCCTTGCCAGGTGCCTTCGTAGCATGGTGCAGACGTTTTTTATTCCGTCCAGGTTGACTGCAGACTTGCAATATGCCGAGGATATATGGCCCATGGACGGAAAGTCGGGGGAATTACAGTCTTTTAATTACATGCAGCGATTATCTAGTTTTGACCAATTTGCGCCCAGTCTCTCGCTCCAGTCCTTTGAGTGCCTTCCATAGCCCCTGGACCTCTTTCTCATCGGGCTGGCCGCACCCAACCCAGCGGATCCGGAACGAGTCGTCGATCAGATACACGTATCCGGCGTATGTGTTTGTCATTAGCAGTTTTTCGCGGTCCTCGCGCGACAAAACGGCGTCTCGGAGCGCAACTAAGAATTTGTCGTGCTGCGACTCCGGGATCTCGGCCCTGAGCTTGCGTGGAGTCACGTATGTGTGGACGAAGTGGTTCGACCATTTCTCGCTCAGTAACAGCTCCACGATTTGCGATTGTGGAAACGATTTGTGGAATTCGTCGATGCCAGTCTTGGACAAGTAGCTATCGTCCGAGTTGGGGATCTTGAAATAGTCGGCTACCATCTCTTTGCCAGAGTCGGCAGAGTACACCTTGAGCACCGTCACCTTGGCCTGTTTGAGCACATCCATCAGCTCGACGTTGCGCTCGCTCAGCGTTCTAGCCAGGAAATTAGGGAAGAAAAGCGACTTGTCTCTCTTGAAAAAGGAAACAGGAGCCTCAAATAGCCGACCCTTCGTCTTCATGTACACATGGAAATCGTACATCCCTCCGTATGCCAACTCTTTCTGGATCTTGTCGACTCGCGTTCGTCTTGTGATTCCGTCGAAGTAGAAATCCCAGATTCGCTTGGGCACATTGAGGTTTTCCTTCGTAAGCCATTTCTTTCGTGGTAGATCTCTCAGGTGCACTGGGGGCTTTTCAAAGCCAAATGGCTTGGTCACCTTGAAAAACCGATGTGGTTTTGGCACTATTTTCGAGATATTGTCTCCCAAATTGCCAAAGAACGAGGCATGCCGTTTGGATGTCAGACTCATTTAGCAGTTTTTTTTTTTCCGTGCTATTTTTTTTGTGCAAAATAACTAATCACGCTTTTTTAGCTGCGGATGCCGTTGAAATTATTCAGACGCAAAGACGACGACGACGACGCTAGTGTCCATTCGGGTGGCTCAGCGGCATCGTCCAAGAAACTGAGCGACTCGGAGTCTCTCAACTTTGACGACACGAAGACTTTCCAGTACTCCTTCAACTCCAACACAAATTCGCTGTTCAGCTCGAAAAACACCGTCTCCACGAGATCTTCCTCACAGCAGAGCTCGCACGGCGCCCAGAAGCAACCCACATTTACATCCATAGGAAAACCTCTGCGAGTGCTCGACGAGGAAGAGTTTGATGACGAAACGGAGGAGGTCGGTACCGTGGCGTCTCTTCGGCGGCCGAAGGAAGCCGGGAGCACCCCTCGAAATACGACTTCGCCAGCTCAAGTCTTAGAAATAGACCTTGACTTGTTGGAGGGCGCGCTGGAAAAACAGTTGCGAACACTGGCACAAACCGTTTCCAACACTTTGATGCGGGTTTCGCAGTCGGTGCTCAATTTGACAAAGGCCTCCATCGAAATAAGCGAGAGCATCAAGCAAACCACCGCCTCGATTGCCAAACACAACTCTCTGGTGTTTCTGCCGCCAAATCACTTCTCAACAGCCTCGTCTCCTGGTCTTGCGCAACTCATCAAAAACGTTCTTTTTCTCGTGGACAATTTGCTCGTGATAGAGGTGTACGACAACTCGAAAGCCCTGGTACTCAAAAATCTACATGACCTTCTGGTCCAGCTGAAAACAGTCGAGAAACTGCCACGGGAGCTGGAGAACTATGTCGCGCTGATGGCTCCCCAAAACTTCCCAGTTGGCAGCTCGTCGAAGCCGTTGGAGAGCGAACAAAAAATAAGCCGCATGATGCAGCTTCTCGTGAAGAAATCCAAGGACCATCTCCTTTCAGACCAGGACGGCTCTTTCATTGCGCCAGTCTTGCGTGGCTTCGTCCACGAAAATCTCAGCGTTGTCACGTTTGTGTTTGGCTTTCCGACGCTCACAAATGAGCACACTGAAATTATTCGCTATTTCTGTACGAGCACAGCCGACCTGCACTTTGTCGCCCAGAAAAATGAAATAAAGCCTGCCGCGTCCACCTTCCATGCTCCGTTCCGCACGCTAGACCCGGACGCAGGTTACGTCCCGATTTCCATGCCCATCGCTTGCAACAGCTCGCTCAAATTGTCAGGCACGCTCGCTGGCTATCTGTACCCCAAGATCCCGAAAAACAACCAGAACGTGCGGCTTCAAAAATACGCCAATTCGCTGTTTGGCCTCACCTGCGCACACGTGATACTGAACGAGACCATCAACGCGGGCGAGAATTATCCATATGTGTCTGTTCCGTCTCCCGTGCTGATCAATTTGTACAAAAACGCTCTTGCCAGCGAAAGACTAAAATACGAGCCGCACTCCGAGGAGTACCAGGCATACGACGCGGCAATTAGACAACTCGACGAAACCTACCCGGAGAGCGAGGTGCGGATCAAAAAGAAGGTCGTCAAGCGCAACCTGCCGCCACAATCTTTCGGCCAGCTGATCTGGGGAGAGCGGCTGGTGGTGGACGATAAACTCTCCGATATTGCCATTGTGAAGATCTGTGACCACACCAAGAAGTTTGTCAATTTCCTTGGAGAGGACCTGGAGCTCAACAAACACGATCCGTCTCTCATGTTCTCCAATTTGTCCGTCAAGGAGACGGTCGACTTGGAAAACTCAAAAGATTTCTCGACGCTTAAGCACGCCGGGCTGGAAGTGTTCAAGGTCGGGGCCACTACAGGCTACACAGACGGCCGTCTGAACGGCCAGAAAATGATCTACTGGTCGGACGGAACACTCAGGACGTCGGAGTTCGTTATTGCAGGGTCCAAAAAACAATTCGCGGCCGGCGGGGACTCGGGAGCGTTCATTCTGACGAAGTTGTCGAATCTGCGTGCCCCGACCGCCGGCAGGAGGTCAATGTTCACCACCCTCCTCGGAAACCTCATGTCTGCGACCCCAGAAACCGGGCTGGGAGTCATCGGGATGCTGCACTCGTACGACGGCGAAAACAAGGAGTTCGGCCTGTTGACGCCAATTCACGACATCCTAGACAGACTGCACGCGGTGACTGGGGTCAGCTGGGGCGTTGTGGGCTGCAATAACGACGACGAGTAAACGTTGAGTAGTAACACATTGTATGATATATTTTCGTCTATTCACTGTGGCAAGTCTTGGGGATCGACATCCTTGATCCAGAGCTTACCCATAATTGGAAGCTTCTTGTAGAAAGTGTCCTGGAACAATGGCCAGTGCTCGGTGAAGGTGAAGATGGCAGCAACAGCGGCACCTCCCCAGAGGGTGAGACTTGGGGCATAGCCAAGCAGCAAGGATGGGGTGAGACCGCCAAAGTGAGGCACCTTCTTGAGCTTGAGGCTTTTGACGTACTGGGGGTTAGAAGAACAGAGTGGCCATATTACTTACGTTGACCATGGTTATTTGGATTTGTTAATTTTTTTTTGACGAAAATTGATTGGTAGAAATTACGGGAGCTCGAGAAAAGATTATATTATCTATTACTCAGCAAATATTTTCTGGTAGCAATTCTCTCGTACAAACAGACAAAACTGGATTAGCGTCTAGAGAGCATCCTTAAAGGAGAGTCTTGGTAGCAGTGTCGCAGTCCGAGGTGGAAGAGACAAAGCTGGACGACTCAGTCGTCTTGGTTGCTGTGTCACAGTCGGAGGACGAGGTGGAGGTGATGATCTCGGTGGTCTTCGTGGCAGTGTCGCAGTCAGACGTGGTCGAGGTCTCGATAGAGCTCTCACAATCTTCATCTTTACCTCCCTTGAATTTCTCCTTCAATTTCTCGAGCTTGTCCTTGTACTTGGAGAGATCGGCCTGGGCCTGGGCTTCAGGCAAGGCAGCTGCAAAGGCTGGACCGGCAACGAGCAGGGACGCACAGAAAATCTTGTTGATGGCAACCATTTTGATCTAGGAGTGTAGTGGAGCGCTGACAAGGGGATGGTGCCTGTTTATATAGTGTTTGGCCTGCTACAGAAAACACAGAACTTGCTAATGGTAGCAGCTGTCGAGCATTTTTTTTAGTTTGGGCATACAGATAATATGGGCGTAAGTCTGGAATTTCTGTGGACGACCGAATGAAACTAGAATGCGGCGCCGCCGTGCCGTCGGGACGACTCAGCTCTGTCGGTTCACCACGTTGCACAGATTCCACGTGTTCTGCATTGCCGCAGAAGTTCCCGGGCCCACTGCAATTTCCTGTGTCCGGCGCTGGATAGTGCCGGTACAGAACACCTGGCTGGCTGTACACGCGGCAGGGCGCATGCCTTCGACAAGGAAATGGAAGCGCATATTCTGTTGCCGAGGAAGAGCGACGCGACGGTCGCGCAAAAATTCAGTCTCCGCGGAGATATATTTCTGGGCCGCGGCAACTATCTGTGATTATCACGCCGGGGCTTTTCCCTGGAAAGTATAAAAGAGCAGAGCAGTTATCCATACAATCATGACGCAGCATCAGTTTCCCCCAGTGGTGGCCACGCGCTGCCTTGAACCGATAAAGTTCACATGCTATTTTGGGACGTTCGTCCAGACCCCGTCGCTCGGCACGCTGCAGGTGCTCACGCACTGTGCCGTTGGAGTTGACCAGGACGGGACTATAGTTTTCGTGAAGGAAAATTGCGCCGACTACACCTCCTATACTCTGAAATTCACCGGCTTGGAGCTGCACGAGGTGCATTTCGTCGACATTGCCGAGTCAGAAACCAAGTTTTTCGTGCCTGGCTTCATCGACACCCACATCCACGCTCCGCAGTTCCCGAATAACGGCATATTTGGCGACTCCACACTGCTGGACTGGCTCGAGAAGTACACGTTCCCGCTGGAGTCGTCGTTTAGAGACCTCACAAGGGCCAACAACATCTACACCCAGGTGATCGAGAGAACGCTCAGCAACGGCACGACCGCGGCAGCGTACTACGCAACGATCCACGCAGACGCAACGAACCTGCTCGCGGACCTGGCTCTCATGCGCGGCCAGAGGGCGCTGATCGGGAAGGTCTGCATGAACCAAAACTCGCCGGCCCACTACATCGAGACGTTCGAGGAGAGCAAGGCCTCGCAGCTGAGCGTGATCGAGCACATTGAAAAAAGAGATCCTGCGGGTAATTTTGTGCGGCCAGTTCTCACGCCACGGTTCGCACCCTCGTGCACAGAAAAGCTGATGAAGTGGCTGGGAGAGCTGCGCAAGTCCCACAACTACCACTGCCAGACCCACCTCTCGGAAAATAAACGGGAAATCGAGGTAGCCAAGGAGATGTTCCCAGCATTCGATTCGTATACAGATATCTATTACAGGTCTGGGCTGTTGGGCCCGAAAACGATCCTGGCCCACTGCATCCACCTGTCGGAGCATGAAAAAGACCTCCTTGCACAGACAGGCTGCGGTGTGTCGCATTGCCCAACGTCCAACTCCTCCATCACGTCCGGCGAGGCCAGAGTCAGATGGCTGCTCAACAGCAACGTCAAAGTTGGTCTGGGAACAGACTGCTCGGGAGGCTTCACGCCGTCTATCCTCCAGGTGGCCAAGCACGCCCTGCTGGTGTCGAACCACTTGGTGATGAAGTCGGAGAACGACTTCGAAAAGCTCAGCACCCACGACGTGCTCTATCTCGCCACGGTTGGTGGTGCAGAGGTGCTGAATTTGAACGTGAAGCTGGGGCTGTTCAAGGTCGGGTACAAGTTCGACGCGCAGCTGATCCAGCTGGACTGCGAGGGCTCGCCGGTCGACACGTTTGAGTTCCAAAATCCGAAATGGGGTCTGCTGAGCCCCGAGGAGTCGCGCGGAAGGTTCCTGGACCTGATCGACAAGTGGATTTTCAACGGTGACGACCGCAACGTGAGAAAGGTGTTTGTGAACGGGCGTTGTGTTGTAGACAAATAGATGGTATTCAAGATGACTAATGGTAGCACAATGCATACAGAACAGGTGTCACGGGGTGGTTCTGCTGCCACTCGGTGATGATGTCTGGAATTTTGTCCTCGAACGGGGGCGCACTGAAATCCTGCAGACTCTTGGCATGGGCGTCCGAAAGCATTCGCGCAAGATCCAGGATGGCCTGTGCTCCTGCCAGCGCACTTCTGTGCTCGTCGCGGATCTCGACGTTGAAACAATGCACCGGCTGTTGTGTCTGGCTTGGCTCGAAGTAGTTCCTGCTGAAGTAGTCTTCCACCACCGAATCAAAGCACCGTTCCTCGCACGTTATCACGACCTGGAAATCCAGCTCGTTTTCGAATTCAGGGTACTCGCTAGGCGGCAATCGCTGAGGTGGCTGGTTATAGTAAGGCCATCTTTCTGGGGCCTTTTTGATGCCAATGTTCCGCTTCGTCATGTCCAACACTCCGTTGGCTTTGTGTATTTTCAGGTCCTGCGTGTTGAGTTTTTCGAGGATCTTCGTGTACGGCGTGCCGAATTCAAACACATTCGGCTGGTCAATCGTGGGACCCGGCAGTCTCACCGACGTGCCCGTTCCGTACGATCTCACCGTGTACCCGGCGTCCTTCAACACCTTGTGGGCCTCCATGGATCTTAAGGTTAGACGGGGGCAAGGACAACTTACCTGTTGTTATTCGAGGCACAAACCGTGCAGAATTTGAGGGACATGGAAAGTGAACGAGAGATGTATATCACAAGAAAAAATAAGTAAAGTGAATTTAATCGAGCGAAATTAAAAAATAAATACGGTAAATAAAGTCCTGCTATGCTCTGGCTCTGGTGGAGCATTTGTTTGTACTCTGCGGCTGTGCTGGCGGACGACTGTTCTTCAGTGGCGGCGTCGCTGAACGACACCAGGGTGGATTTGGATCTCCAGAACCTCACAGACTCGCTCGACGCGAACGAGTCCAGCCTTACCAACGAAGAAAAGTCGTACTTCCTGACCTTTGAAGAGTGGAAGAAGAAGAAAGTCGACGAGTCTCAGATCACGAAAAAAAGATCAGATCAAGAGTCAGGCGAGGAGCTTGAAGGCACCATCGGCGAGGAGATGGAGATCGAAATCTCAATGTTTGGAGGCCCGGAACCAAAAGAGGATACAGGAAAGGTCTACAACGAAAGGTTCAATTTTGCATCGTTCGACTGCGCGGCCACAATTGTCAAGACGAATGCGGAGGCTAAGGGCGCCAACGCCATCCTCAACGAAAACAAAGACTCCTATCTATTGAACGAGTGCAAGGCGAAAAACAAGTACGTAATCATCGAGCTGTGTGAGGATATTTTGGTGGAGGAGGTGCTGCTCGGCAACTACGAGTTTTTCTCGTCCATGTTCAAGGACGTTCGGTTTTCCGTGAGCGACCGGTACCCTGCTGCCTCATGGCAGTCGCTGGGAGAATTCAGAGCTGAAAATATTCGGAAACTGCAGATGTTCAAGGTGGAAAATCCTCTAATCTGGGCCAAGTTCCTGAAGATTGAAGTTCTCTCGTACTACGGCGACGAGTTTTACTGTCCGATTTCGTCTGTGCAAGTCCACGGAAAGACTATGATAGAGCAGCTCAAGGAGGAGGATAAGGAAGAGGTCAAAGCGAATGAAGTCGAGATGGAGAAGCCGGAGGTGGTTCCGGCAGATTTTTACGAAACGCCGTCTTTTAATTTGTCTCTGAATGAGATTGTTTTCTCCCTGAATGGGTCCACGGACGACGATAATTGCAAAATCACTCCGTATTTGGGTCTGGACAGATTTCTCAAGGAACACCAGCAGGAACTATGCGAGGCGGGCGACTCGCCGTCAGAAACAAAGCCAAAGACCACCCAAACCACAGGGACGCAGGAGTCGATCTACAAGAACATCATCAAGAGAATATCGCTGCTGGAGTCGAACGCAACGCTCTCGCTGCTATATATTGAGGAACAGTCCAAAATTCTGTCGAACGCATTCGAAAATCTGGCAAACCGCCAAAATAAAAGATTCAGCACGCTCATAGACCATTTGAACCAAACAATCCTCAACCAAATCGGCAACTTCCGGCTGTTGAACACAGAACTGGCCTTCAATTTCGAGAATCTCTTTAATTACCAACATAGCAAGTTCCGGCACTTGCTTCTCGAGACAGACTCCAAGTTCTCCAGATTCGCGGATTCACTCAGCTTCCAGAAGAAACTGAACTATCTCAATCTCAGCATAATCATCCTCTTGCTCGTCTACATCATCATAACCAGAGATACCTTCATCGAGCCGGAGTTCATAGCTTCTCCATACAGTGCAGGTCCACCGTACAACTCATCCTCTCAGTCCCCCGCGCACTCGCCAACGGTTCCCGTGCGGAAACGTAGGAATTTCGTGGACAGGTTAGTGTTTGGTTCCCGATCCGTCTCTCCTACAGAATACAAGAACGATTACGACTCAGAACATGAGCAACTGGCCGAGCAGGAACAGCCAGAGAAAAAGGAGCCGGACGAATCGTCAGTTGTGATCACCGACATGAAGATAGAAAAGAATGTGAGCGATCTATAGTTTTAAAATATCATGTGCCATTATATTTGTGCAGTTATTGTGGGGTGTTGAGAATCGGCGACGAATCCGGGTATCTCGGCATGCCGGCAGGTTGGTAATACATCTTTCGTTGAGCCAGCTCTTCGTAAGAGGAATCACACGTCGTTTGCGACGAAACGGAACTGAACGAAGAGAACTTGGAAGGCGAGTTGAATGGGGATGAGGCCGACTTGTTGAGAGTTGGAGAATGATATATTTGCACAAATTGAGCTTGTGGCCGAGGCAATTGCGTCAGCTCAGGGTAATGCTCAAGGTTGAGCAATAAGTTGGAAAGCTCGTCTGCCATTGCTGATGATAGGTTTTCGATGTCGTCCAGTTCCTTGCTGTGTTGTAGATGTTCGAGGTGATTTTCGGTGACGAAGTTTTTGATCACCGTGATCACCCCGAGTTGCGAGTACTTCTCGATCAAAACTTCTGCAGGGTTGAGTAGCGATTTCAGAAGCATGAGCGAGATCTGGCGGAGCTGAGAGATTGTTTCCAGTCCTTCGAATCCGTTGATGAATGGACCATATGCGTTGTTGATGCATTCAGTGGACTGGAGGTGGTCCATGTCTGCATCCTGAATATCACTCGTGTCGTCGTTAAAATATTTGAAGCTCTTGGATGGAGTCACTGGCGTCGGCAGCTGTTGTTTGGACTTCGTCCGGTATTTGCTGCTCTGGTACTGAACATAGACAGACTCGAGCCAACTGGAACCTGTCTCGAGCTTGAGCATCGAACAGGCCATCAAGTGCGCAGCAATGCCTATCATGGACGTCTTGTAGTTGAGGTAATTGCGCTCATACAGTGACAGCTCACAGAGGTATCTGCTGATTGCCAAGATGGCGCTCACCGTTGGCGAGTTTGACTTGTACTGGTCCAGCGGCTTGGCGAGGGTTTCTTTCCCGTCGTGGTCGCAGAATTTGATGGACAGCTGGAGGATATCCTCGAGCGAGGTATGGCCTATTGACCAGCCCAAAGTGCTCAGAATGTGAATTTCCATCTCTTTGAACATGCTTTCGTCATAGACGTTGGAGCACATGAGACTCAGTTCAGACACGGTAGGCACCCTTGACTTTTTATCCTCGTACTTGGCCGCAATCCACAAAGCCGTGCATCCGATGAGCTGGTAATGCTGCTTGAACGCGATACGTTTGGCGCAGTATCTGTCTATTATGTTCCAGCACAGGAATAGCGTCTGTGGCTTCAGTTTGAGCGACGCGTGCATTTGTATTATGAAGTTGACCAGGTATGGTCTCATGAACCATTTCACCTCAGGCTGGAGATCAATCATGGCAGCACTGGCCTGAGAGCTGTTTTCCAGAGTCTGCAAATGAGCAGTGATGCTTGCGAGGTACTCGTTTACCACGACTCTGTTTCTGCGATTCTCAATTGCCTCGAGACTCGAGGAGTATTGTTGGGCATGGGCTCTTCTTGGTGGGCCATATGATCTCTGTCGCATATTGGATTGTGAGTTTGGCTTCTGGATACAAGATCCTCTTATAGATCAGGCCTGCTGAACAGTGATTAAAAAAACGATCTCCAAATGTGACCTATCTGGTTTCAAACCTTAAAGTAGATCCGATGCGTGTTCAATTGCTAGATGTGCTGTGTAGCATGTATATCAAACTTGTTCTGGAATTAGCGTAGAATTAAGGCAAAAGTCGGTCGTTTTGTCTTTGTTTCCCCCTTGGATGTGTAAGTTGCAACGGTGGTATCGAAAAGAAAGACGACTGGGGACTTTAGAAAACAAAAGTAATTGAACACGCTAAACACTGCTCTTCAGACAACTGGGAAGAAACGGCAGATATCTTGAAATATGGAAATATCGATTCTTTATAAATGTAGGCTCCCCCTTGTTTGGGCATGTACCACAAAATTTTCGTCTTGAAAGGAGTGCGCGACCCCTTCGGGCACGGGAATTTTTTTTTCGGGGCGGGCGACGCGTAATCTCGCGGGGAAAATAGGGCAACGGGTGACCAACGTCAATTTGCGCCCGCCTGCTATGGCCATATTGTGTCGCGACCGAGGAGCTCTCGAGTTTCAGCTTGGCTTGCGCTGGGCTTGGAGATTGCAGCTGCAGCTCCTTTGGTGCGCGGCGCGCAACCACCCAAAAAAGTATTTTTTCAGATTGCAACAGTTTTCGCGCTCTGCGCGTTCGCGTCGCGTACACAACCCTTGACATGTCATAGTGCCACGGCACCATGACGAGACAGCTGATTTCATCTTACAGACTGGGGCACAATGATATCAGTAGACGTCCATATGTCATGTATCGAGCGTGTCGAGAGCCCAATTTTGCCCGACGCCCGTCTTGGCTCTTGTCAGATTGGTGTTATTTTTGACGAAACGGTTGCAACCCAAAATTCGCTACGGTTAACTTTGGCTTATTTTTATTCACTAAAAAATCAAATATATTTAAGGTCCATACCCTAAAAACCAGGAAGAGCACTTCTTTGCAATGTAGCCTCTCCATAGGAAAGACGTAGCAGAGACAGAAGACCTTGCTATTAGCGATACAGAACATGGCAGCATGGATGCGCCCCTGAGCCGCCAAGCCGCACACACATAAATATTGCTTAGAGCGGCGCTGTAGCTTTTTCTTCTTCCTGTTTGTACGAGTCCGCACCATCAGAGAGGTCCTTCTTCTTCTGCATGAATTTGAACCACCGTGCGTTCTCAAGCCATTGTGTATTCTCAAATAGAGCCCTGACACTCTTGTCGACTTTGATTTTGGTATTCCGGCCGTAAACAGCAGCTGGGTAGGTGATAAGCAAGAGACAGATAGCCAGGGACATCATAAGAGCCTCTAGAATGAAGAAGTAAATTTCTGTGTCTGCCAAATGCCCCGAGAAGCCCTGCGCAAGCTCAATTAGACGGTAGATCGACCGAACAAACACGAGAAGAACTGCAAACGAAATGAAGCCGATGTAAACCAAGAAAATCTTTCTCCTCCTAACCGAAGCATATTGAGGGTCAAAGCAATCATCGCCGTACTTCTTGTAGCTCTTATAACATCTGAACAGGAACACGTACCAAAAGAACTGGAAAAGTCCGATGGAGAAAACTTGGAAAGCAAGACCCCCAACCATGATGTTGGCACCACCACGGGTGCTATCAAGCACATCCAGAGCGCTGGCTGCAACAGCACCACCAGCAGCCTGCAGAGCAATTGCAATCAGGTCGCACATAATGAAAATCATCGAATATTGCATGGGCTTGAGCCAGGAATACATTTGGCCCATGATAATCGTCATCTCACCGATTGTGTAATAAACACCCGCCATGAGAAAACAAGGAGCCAGAGTTAAACAAACCAGTTGGAGAACATAGGCATCAAAAGACGCAATGTTCTTGTTGGACCAAATACGACCGCTATAGCCCAGAACCTCGAGAATCAAACCCAAAGTGAAACAGGTGAAAAACCACCAGTTTTTGTAGATGGCCCCGTAAATGAGCTGTATGGCAAGGAAGATACTCATCACAACTAGCAGGGCAACGTTTCCAGCCAAATTTGGAGCATTTCCTCCGTAGTTGGCATTATCGTCATACAGCTTTTTCATATATGCCGACGCAACCGCAGCCTGAGCAGAGACGCTTGATGCCACTCCAGGGTCCGTGATAGTCGCCGCAGCCTGAGCTAGAGAGTAGTACGACATTGTGGCCTCTGCCTGCGCGGCAATGAGGGACATACTCTTCGAGGTGGCCTTTACTGTGGCAGTCGCGAGGACCGACGTTGCCGACTCGTAGACAGAGGCCGCAGAAGCGAGCACGGATGAGTAAGACGCAAGTTCTGTTGTCATGTGTGGGACGTTTGGTATTGGGGATCCTTTGGAGTAATGAAAAGAAGACAGTGAGGACAGAAAAGGCGCAGTATGTATGAGGAACCACTAGTATCGACGAAAAAGGCGCAGTCGAAGAATATTTAGGAAAACTCCAAATATGACTGTTTTAGCCGTGCAAGGTAACGTTTTTTTTTCTGGGCAAGAGTTTTATCATTTGTTTTGATACCTTTCAACAATGTATTTTTTTCCTAGTAGATTTCTTTTGCTGCATATCGATATAGTTCTAATACAATGCAGCTCGGATCTAAATTCGACTTGCGTCGAGACTCGGAACAAACTGGGACTTCGGAAGCTAACAAAACACGAGTCACGTGACTGGAGATGATTCCCCAAGTGTGGATCGTAACGGTGGATACAAAAAGGCGGCCGCCAAAGTTGAAAAATGACAGCACACTATGGCCCCTAACTTCCTGATCATTGTCGCTGACGACCTCGGGTTCACCGACCTAAGCCCCTTCGGTGGAGAGATTTCTACCCCCAACCTGCACAAGCTGGCTCTTGACGGCTACCGGTTCACGCAGTTCCACACCGCATCTGCATGTTCTCCCACGAGATCAATGCTGCTGTCAGGAACAGACAACCATCTTGCCGGACTCGGCCAGATGGCCGAGTTTGCTAGAAACTACCCGGAGAGGTTTAAGGGAAAACCCGGCTACGAGGGTTATCTGAATGACAGAGTAGCCGCGTTGCCCGAAATCCTGCATGACGCCGGATACTATACTTTCATCTCAGGAAAATGGCATCTTGGGCTGGATTGTCCTCACTGGCCTGTCCGGCGTGGTTTCGAGCGTTCCTTCACGCTGCTGCCTGGAGCCGGCAACCACTACAAGTACTTTCCGAAGTCCAAAGACGGCGGCGAGCCTGTAGGGTTTATGAGGCCGCTTTATGTGGAGGATGACAGGCAGCTCGATCCGTATGATCTACCGGAGGACTTTTACAGCACCCACCTGTACACAGACAAGGCTCTGGACTTTCTGCAGGACGAGAAACGAGCCGGCCGGCCTTTCCTGGGTTGTTTGACTTACACTGCCCCACATTGGCCGTACCAGGCTCCACGCGAGGTGATCAGCAAATACAAGGGGCGCTACGATTCGGGACCGGCAGTGTTGCGTCGCGAGAGACTGAAACGCGCGCTCGAGCTGGGAATTATCCCCGACGGCATCGAGCCCCATCAGGTGGAAACTCACCGCGACAAGACGTGGGAAGAGCTGAGCTGCGAGGAAAAAAAAGTCGAGGCACGGATCATGGAGATCTACGCTGCCATGGTCGAGGTTCTTGACGCTGACGTGGGGCGCGTGGTGGACCACCTGAAAAAGACGGGCGAGTACGACAACACGCTGATTCTGTTCATGTCGGACAACGGAGCCGAGGGCATGCTTTTGGAAGCCATGCCGTTGTGGATGGAAAGGACAGAAAATGCCATTCGTGCTCACTACAACAATTCCTACGAGAACCTGGGAAACAAGGACTCTTTTGTGTGGTACTCGGACCAATGGGCACAGGCCGCCACCGCCCCGTCGTACATGTACAAGATGTGGGCGTCCGAGGGGGGCATCCGGTGTCCTCTGATTGTGAGGTATCCGAAATTTGCCCTTCCTGCAGGCAGCGTGAGCTCCGAGTTCTGCACGGTGATGGATATTTTGCCGACCGTGCTGGAACTCGCAGGCGTCCAGCACCCGGGCACAGAGTACCGCGGCCGCAAAGTGCTCACGCCTAGAGGAAAATCGTGGGTGTCGTATCTCAAGGGAGGAGACAGGATCCACGACGAGGATAGTGTCACTGGCTGGGAGCTGTTTGGGCAGCAGGCTCTGCGCAAGGGCAAATACAAGGCGCTGTACATCCCCAAGCCGTATGGCCCTGGAAAGTGGCAGCTTTTTGATCTGTCAGCAGATCCGGGCGAGATCCACGATCTGGCCGAGTCGCATCCAGACAAGCTCAAGGAGTTGCTGGATCACTGGGTCCAGTACGTGGCGGAGACAGGGCTGGTGGAGTTCAGCTCGGACGCGGCCACTTTAGTGGAAATTGAAAACCACAAGCCTTATATCCACAGAAAAGTGCCAGAAAATTAGAGAAAAAAAAGTATTTAGAATGAGTGAATTTGATTTGGAAGAGCCTCTTACATCGACCGCCCGCCCACGTAAGTAGCCACCCCCTCACCTTCCCCTCTCCCACGCTAACCCCAGTGACCGACTCCGTGCTGACCGTGCGGATCATCAAGTCGTTTCCGTACAGAAACGTCCGCAACCACGTGTTTCCGCACGTCGACCTGAAAAACACCACCCCAAAACAGCTGTTTGACACAATCATTAACACCATCAACACGACAGGCGCCCTTAGACCGTACAGAGGCGTGGACTACGACACGCTCAAGATCTACACACACGCACACGGCAGCAAGACGATGAATCTCGTGATCAACATGGATCACGACGAAGACTGGATCCTCGACCTCGACGACAACACCAGAACACTGGTGGATTACGGGATTGCCAACGAGACCGAATTGAGCATCTTCAACCGCGCAGAGTACGAGAAGTTCAAGGCCAACCCGGAGGAGAAGTGGTAATGCTTACATAATCCACCAGTTCCTATGGTCGAGTACGTAATCATGGGGCTATGGCGAAAATAAATACGCAAAATAAAAGGGTTTAAAAACCATATTATCTGATGCCACAGTTTTTCTTTTAAATTTTAAACGCTCTTTCGTTCCATATACAACATGAGTGTGCTTCAGAAGGTATGCAAGAGTCCAGACTCAAATGATCTGGAGCAAGTAATGAGCAACAGCATTATGTCGAGGGCTTCCTCGCAACAGGAAATTCAACGGACTGACAATTCAACACCCGAAGATACCCCTAACAAATCCATAGTGACGCCATTCCTCACCAGCCATTTGCAAGACCAGGACGACTGCGAAAAAAGATTTTGCTACAGACACAATCCCAAAGTGCGGTTCGACCGCCGTTCTGACGAGACAAAAATGCGGGAAATCCAGTCCGAGCTTGAGAAGCTCCCTCGCCGAGATAAAGAGGCGATTACCCACGTATGGTCGATTTTCAGTGCCGCTCCCACGCAGCACCGCAGTCTCATCCTCAAAGGGTTGCTCAGCCAGTGTTGTTTCCCGCAACTGTCGCTCATTTCGCAAGAAGTTTCCAAGCTGATCAAAATCGACTTCATCGAGGCGCTACCGAGCGAGATAGCCCTCAAGATCCTTTGCTATTTAGACTGCCAGAGCCTCTGCAATGCTGCCCAAGTTTCCACTAGATGGAAGCAGCTGGCTGACGATGACAGGGTCTGGAGATATATGTGCGAGCAGCACATCGACCGCAAATGTCCTCAGTGCGGGTGGGGGCTGCCTTTGATGGCTGTCAAGAAATTACAGGAATGCAGCCGCAGACGTAGAAGCAACGACATGGACACTCCCGAATGTATTGTCGAGCGGCTGCCGCCAAGGCTAGACGACTGCAAACCAGATGTCAAGAGACAGAAGGTCAACAAGAAACGGCCTTGGAAGGCAGTTTATTCGGAACGATACACGGTTGAGCGCAATTGGAGAAAGGGATTATACAAGATAAAACGGTTCGAGGGCCACATGGACGGCGTTCTGTGCTGCCAATACGACAACAACAATCTGCTGATGACGGGGTCTTACGATAAGACCATTAAGATTTGGAATGTGGAGACAGGAAAACTGCTGCGCACGCTGACAGGCCACACACGAGGCGTGCGCACACTCGCGTTTGATGACCAGAAACTGATAACAGGAGGGTTGGACTCCACCATCAAGGTCTGGAACTACCGGACTGGTCAGTGTATCTCCACATATACGGGCCACGAGGAAGGCGTGATCAGCGTGGATTTCCACGAGAAACTGATCGTGTCTGGCTCGGCAGACAACACGGTCAAGGTCTGGCACGTCGAGTCGCGCACATGTTACACACTGCGTGGTCACACAGACTGGGTGACTTGTGTAAAGATCCATCCGAAGAGCAACACGCTTTTCAGCGCTTCGGATGACTCCACGGTGCGCATGTGGGACCTGAACACGAACGAATGTTTGAAGGTGTTTGGAGGAGTCGAGAACAACGGCCACGTCGGCCAAATCCAGTGTGTCATACCATTTTCGCTGAAGGACGCCATTGTGACCGATTTCGATGAGAAATTGACCGACGAAACCGAAAAGCAGACTGAAGAACAGATCCAGAGCGACCAGGACTCTGTTCTGCAGAACCCAGAGCTTCCATCCCACCTCCTAACAGCTTCCTTGGATAACACCATCAAGCTCTGGGACCTCAAGACCGGTAAGTGTGTCCGGACGCAGTTTGGCCACATAGAGGGTGTTTGGTCCATTGCAGCAGATACTTTCCGGATTGTCAGTGGGGCCCACGACAAACTCATCAAGGTCTGGGACCTGCAAACGGGAAAATGCATGCACACGTTTGCTGGTTCCAGTGCGCCAATCACGTGTGTGGCACTGGGAGATTCGCGGTTCGTCTGTGGTTTAGAGAACGGTGACGTGAAAATGTATTGTTTCGATGCATAGCTTTATAATAAAACACTGGTTAGCGAATAGGATGTTACAATATTAAACAGCACAACGATGAGTCCGTAGATGAACGTTAGCCACGGGTTCAATCCGAACCGACCACTTTTGTAAATTTCGGCCAGGAGCAGGCCAATCAGCGAACCCGACAATAACGCCTGAATCATTCCAGCCAGCACATAGACCCCGACGATGGCCACCAGAGCAGTCCCCTTTTTTTTGCTGTTCTTGTTGTTCTTGTAGTATGTGAAAGAGGCGATCAATGCGGCAGCCAGATAGAACGCAGTCATCAAAATGATGCACCAGAACACTGTAAATTTGATCACGTCTCTGGTGTAGTAGAGAGAGTACTTGCTTAGCGGCCATCCTAGGGCAGGGAATCGGGGTGCAATGTATCCGACGGGCACATATGACATGAATATACGGAGTGAGAAACGAAAGTAATGTAAAATAATATAAAATAATGCAAAATAAATGTCAAGCTCGCTTACATAATGCGATCCGGCCAGGGGTACGAAGATTAGATTGTTACTGGCGTGCCACAAGATTTGCTTGGTGACACAGTGTTGACCGAAAATGAACGGAAAGCCAAACGACACGGTCAGGTATTTGCTGGAATTGATAGGAGCTAGTGCTCAGAGAATTGGCTCATTTTCATTTATAATGTGTTAGGTTTTCGGGCTGAGTCTATTTGAGATCCGGGGCTCATATGATGTTAGGCTGGCTTACAGGGAGACCGCGGGACGGTTTTAGCAACCCATCTACATTGCTGGAATGATGCCAAGTAATGAAAGGTTACCAGCTAGAGTTAATCTCAGATGCACTTTAAGATCTACTAACATTGGAGGCACCCCTAACGTTTCGGAGGTGACTGTTGGCGCAACAATAGCGGAGAAAGCACGGAACCGCCAGTTTCGCATCATCTGAGATAGGAGCTCTTGTCTTGTGCTGAATATGAATAGATAGGTAAGAGACCACATCCAGTAACCACTCCAGAGACATTGTTCACATCACAGAAAGCACCATACCATTTCCTTTAATTGGTCTATACACTCGTCAATCCGTCTCCACCTCGTCTTTTAGGCGTTTGATGCATTTGAGAACAAACAGGCGAGCGTCCAGAGCGTTGAAGCGCACGTTTTCCATGCTCATACTAATTTTATGTTTCTCCTCTGCGTTCAGCAACCGTGCTACCAAAATCGCAGTGAACCCAGCGACGCTAATACCGCAGTCCGACCCATTGCTCTGCTGTGGCGGGTGCGCGTCGACTGCAATTCTAAACTTGGCACCAAAATACCGCTCAATCTTGCTGACAAGCTGTTTTGTCTCCTGCTCGTTTGCAGACTCCATTGAGTCGTAAACCATAGCCAGCCGGTCCTCGACACTGAGCACCACCAGGGACCAGTGATAACCGCCTTCAGCTACCCCAAGGTCCTCGTTATCGTTCAGAGGCATAAACACAAATTTCGCCTTTTCGATCGGCGGAAGAACGCCTTTGAGCTGGGTTGGCTCCGGATGATGGGCCAGTAAAAATGTAAAGGTAGGCATTAGTAATATTATGCTCGTTTCTATCATTTGCTTGTTGGAAAAGCGAATTCGTCGTCTCAGCGTCGGCTCAATGTGCACACGAGTGATATATTCGTAGATGAAAGCCAAATTGTTGTCATTCAGCCACTCGTCGTCTCGAAGATTCAGAATATCCTCGCGATATACGGTGATCTCGTGGAATTTGAGCACTTTATCGTCACCAGAGCACAGCTCCTTCACGACAGACCACTCGGACCGCGGACTCTTGCGCTGTCGTCGTTGTTTATGCTGCCGCTTTTCCCGTTTCTTTCGTGCACGGGCACTTCCGTTGCCTGCCATCTCGCGCTCGGGAAGTTCAGCTATCAGCTCGTCATCCGCAGGCTCCAGCTGATCAAAGCCATTTGTATACAGGGGACCGATCTCAAACGCCTCTTCCGCATCAGGACACAGAAAGTAGCCCCTGTTGGCACTGAAGACAGTGTTCATATATTTCACAGAAGAGTGGAAAAAAGTCCACCCTAACACCCACAAGAACACAGAAACCTACATCTCGCACCACACTCGTTTTTGCAACGGGTTATTTTAGGTACATAGCACTAGAAAGTGCGCTCGCCATCATATATTACCGTTCAACAATGCCTCAATCGCCCCCTCCACGGACCCACCGCTTCTTCTGAGCGCACGCACGTTACTGTCAAAATCGAAAAATCCCATATCGTTCAACTGACGCAACTGCACCTCAAACACCTCTTCTGGCGGCCTATTATCGACTGGAGCAGCGAGACCAGGGAATCCGCCCAATGCCCCCAGTCCACCAAGGCCGGCACCCATGTTTCCGCCCAATAGGGCGGCGAATGGGTTGGCAGGGGCAGTGGATCCCGTGGTGGAACCGGATCCTGAGCCAGACCCAGAGCCAGACCCAGTGCCGGACCCTGATCCGCCAGCATTAGTGGTCGAAGCGCTGTTTCCCGCTTCCGTGGACGCTCCACCCGGAGCAGGGAAGGCAGGCGCAGAGGGACCGCCCATGCCTCTCTGCATTTGCATCATGGTTCTCATCATTTGTGGATTAGTCAACATGTTGCGGAAATATTCACTCTGCAACATTTCTCTGGCCGCAGGGCCCATCGCGCTCAACTGAGGCGACTGCTGGATAAGAAAGTCCAGCATTTGCGGATCAGAAAGCATCGCACGCATGCTTTCCTGGAACATTGGGTTCTCCATCATCTGTTCCATTTGAGATTCGTCCGGAAGCTGCATTCCGTCGGCCCCGAAGCCCAGAGACTCCATCGAAGGCATAGGCACGTTCAGGCCCGCATAACGTGCGCCGGTAAGCCCGGCCAGCGGGTTGAATGCGCCTTGGCCGGCAGCGATGTTCTGTGGAATGCTCGTGTCGGAGTTTGCCCCCGGCTGTCCACTTGAGGCCGCTCTTGATTCCGGGCCTGCGCTGCCGCTTTTTGCCGCACCCTTCACCAGATGGATAGTGTGGCCGTCCTGAATCTTGTACGCGGCAACGGTTTCCGCATCCTTCAGCACTTTGCCCGAATAGATGAGTCTTTGCCTATCAGCAGGAATCTCTGTTTCTCCCGCCAACTGCTCTTTCACCTCCGCGATCGTCGACGAAGGCGAAAGACTCACTTCGTACTTCTTGTCGCCGGACGATCTGCGTGTTAGCGACGGTCTGAGAGCGGTACTTACTTGATCGTTACTTTAATGGTCTCACTCATAACAATATACTACATTATTTTTCCACGTTATTCTACAACCTTGTGAGCTGGCGCGTCGATCGACGCGCCGTTATGGCTCAGCAGTTCCATCGCAGCAGCGTCGCCTCGGCGCAGCTCCGGCAGCTCCAGCACGTCGGCCACGAGCTCCCACGGGTCCCGCGATCCACCCCATCTGAGGACCTGGTTCTGGAACTTGTCACCACCAGCACGCGAGAACGGATCTTTAGCAAAGAGATGTTCCCAGATCCGCGTCGCAATCACCCTGTCGAACAGATACGAATAGTACATCGCGCCGTACGAGTATAGATGGCCGAACTTTGCTACCCACGACGACTCATCGTCCTTGAATGCCTCGAAGTGGCGCTCCACGTCGTGGTAGCAGCGCAGAGGGTCAAAATTGTAGTCGATTGCTCCGTGTAGCTGCTGGTCCAAATACGCCATTTTAATCTGACTGAAGGTCTCGCTCTTGTCGAGGAACGAGTGGTCGGCTTGGTGGCGGCGGAGAATGTCCAATGGGAGCGGCTCGCCGGTCTTGTGGTGGCGGGCGAACGAGAGCAGCACGCGCTCGTCTTTGGCGAAAAACTCCATCAGAATCGACGGCAGCTCGACAAAGTCTGTGGGACATCTTGTTCCGCTGACGTTATGCAAATTTGTGCGACCCAGCATCGAGTGCATCGCATGACCCATCTCGTGGAAAAGCGTTTCCACCTGAGCAAGAGAGAGCAGACATTTTTCATGGTCTCCGTGGACGTGTTCGGGCTGGAAATTACACACAAGCGAGATCACAGGCAGCTGGAACGTGTCGCCGCCATGTTTTTTCGTCTGAACCGTGGGTAGTTTCAAATTAAAAGGATCGTTCTCGTCCAATTCCTCTGGATATATTTTTCGCGAGCAGCAGATAGTGAAATGTGCTGGGTTCAGCGTCTTGTTGGATCTGTAGAACAGGTCCATATAAATAATGCCCACAAGGCCGTCCTTGTCGCTCGTAGCCTCAAACTTGCGCACGCTCGGCTCCCAGACCTCGCCTGGCTGCACTTTCGCCGGTCGCAGCTCGATACCGTAAATGCTCTTGAAAAGATCAGAAAGACCTTGCACAACGGTTCCCAGAGAGAAGTATGCACTGATGTCCTCGATACACGAGCTCTTCTGACGGCTCAGATATTTGGAAGCCAAGTACTCGCGGTCCCATGGCCTAATCTCCTTGATCGGGTCACTTTGTATGTTGAGGCTTTTTGCTAGCACTTTGAGCTCCTCCTCGACCTCTGGCCGGATCTCTAATGCCAGCTTCTCCAAAAAGCGTCTCACGTTCTCAGGCGACCGCGCCATCTTGTCGTTTAGCTGGTAGGCGCCGAAACTGTCATGCTGGAACTGTGCAGCCAGAAGTCGTCGATAGATCACCAAATGCGTCAGCCGCTTGAGCTGGATCGGTTTCGCCGTATGCATGGCAACCCACACACGCCGCCGCACGTCTCTGTTCGGACAAGTTTGCAGAACCTCCATCGGGACGTGTCCATAAAGCGGGATCTTGACGCCCTTGGTGGTCACGTGAATGTATTTTTCAAGTTCCGGTGTGAAATCGCCCTCCTGGACCTCTGACTTCGGAACCAGCACTTCTGCCGACTCCACCTCGTACACTTCATCTGCAAACTGCTGGCCAACCTCGGCAATGTGCTGGCTCAGCTCCACGTACGTCGACTTGCCCTCGCCGGCGAGTCCAAGCCCAGCCTTCTGGAAGTCCGCATACAGCAGCTTGCCCACGCTGATCTCTTCCATGCTCAGCTCCTTGCTAAGCTCTGGGTCGTGCAACACGCGCTCGAGCTTCAGATACATCTCCTCAGACGTATTCAGCTCGTTCATGAACCGAAACATCTCCTTGTGGCAGTCGGCAGCTGCGTTAACGAACGCCTTGTTGGGGTGCGCCACGCGAACGAATTCGCACAGATCTATGACACGACACAGAATGTCGCTGAGTCTATCCAGGTTTCTGATATATTTGCGCAGACCAGCGGCCGAATCGTCCGCTATGATGGATACGGTGAGTTGCCGAGCTCGGAGAAGAGACTCTTTGCAGAACTCCAAAAGCCCAGACGGCCGCTTCAGATAGGGGTTCAGAAACATGCCTGCCGAGCCCGACGTGTAGTTGTGAAACCCAAACGGCAGCCCCGGGCGTTTGTCCTTGTACTGTCTCCAGGTGTCTGGGTCGTCGAAGACGCGTCTAGCAAGGTCGTTGGGCTGCGGCGTGAACCGACGACACGACTGCCACGAAACTCTGCCAACGACAGGCCTCGCGCAGCGCCACGTCTGCCGAGCACTGACTTTTGTGGGAAACATGTATTAAAAAAAAAAATAGCGATCCAGGCTAATAAATTTGACCAATATTTCTTCGCCCTTACATAATCATCAATTTCCTGCCCTGGCTATATAGTCGTCGAAAATGGCTCCTGCCAGGCGCAGGAAATGCTTGCGGAAATCGCTTGTTTTTTCGTGCACGGGCACCTCGTACGTGTAGACCTCCGAGCCCAGTCGCAGGTCGCCCGAAACCAGTGCAACGTGTTCTTCTGCCGGAGGGTCGGATAGCGTCTCCGTGGGCACGGCTCCGTCCTCAATCGCGCGGCTCTCGACGTCGTCGTCGAGCGACGACTCTGCGCTGTTGTCCTCGCACATCTCTTCTGGCGTTAGATTGTTGTCAGAGCTCGGCGTCTTCACCACAACGTAGTCCCCGTTGTCCATGGTCACCTGATGATATCGCACCAGGGGAGGCGATGGATACACGGCAGTCGGATATGCCAGTGGGTAGGCGGGTGGATAGTCGGGGTAATACCCAGGGAGAGGAGCGTAGAGAGGCTGTGGCGGAGGATATGGCCGCGTCAGCACACGATGCCCTCGCAGAGGAGCCGATCTCATGGCCAGGCCGTGTCGCAAGCGGCCATGGCGAATATCCAACGGAGGAGGCGGCTTGGCTCTTTGCAAGCGCGGCAGATCCTTGCGGACACCTAGACCGGGCGAACGCCTGCCTTCTGCGGGGCTCGTGCTGCCGGCACGCTCGTTGATCAGACGCTTCTGCTCTGCCTCGATGGATTTGCTTTGGCGCACCCGGCTCATGTTTCTGTCGCTGAGTGGCGGCAAACCGGGCGACACGATGTGGTACGCGATTTTCTCGAGCTCTGCCTTGGATCGCTTGCCAAGGTCCAGCGCTGGCGGTTTTGACCTGCTGTTGGCACACATTTGAAGGGGTATCAGTGGACGGCCACTTGGACAGTTTGGATATCAATGCAGCGAGATAGCTCTATAGAGGCCAGTGGCTCGTGGCGGCAATCTCCGTGTGGTACCTGGCTTTGTCGCCTCGTGTATTTCTTCTGACACAGAAAATTGCCAGCGTGCGGTTTTTATGGCTGGTTGCAAAATTTGAAATCGGTTGCCGCGAGCCGCACGGGCGTGCGATGAATTTCCTGCTTGCACTTGGTTTCAAATATGTAGCTAAATGTTTCGGTGCTTGTATTCTACCCAATCGAGGCCCAGAGTGCGCAAAATTTTGCGTTCGTCAAAACTCTCGACAAGGGATTTATCTGCAGCCAGAAACAGGCCTTTGTTGCTCAGATGATACCCCTTGATCTGAGCAAGCAACCTCAGACACCTGTTGAATATGTCGTTCCCGACAAAGTAGATGGTCGATGCTCCCAGTTCCGCGTGCGGGATGCCAATTATGTCTAACCGACGACATTTTTGTGCTCCTGGCAGCTTGCAGCCGCCGTTGAACTTGTGCATTGCGGGCGAGACTTCTGTCATGGAACAGACTATGAATCCGGACTCCTGGAGCCTGCGAGTGAGTTTGTACAGGTTCTCGTGGACCTGGCTCGCCTCGTTGACGTTCTCCGTGTAGACAATGAGGTCGATGTCGCCGCTCGCCTCAGCTCCACGCCGATACGACCCCATGAGCATTACTTTCAGGTTTTTGTCTATTTCTTCCGCCTCTTTCACCACGAAATTGTAATGCCTTTCCACTTCCGTGCGTGGTATCCGCTCGTTCCAGTCGTCATAGTGCAGAATTCCCAGTTTTTGGGCGTCCGTGAGACTTGCATACATTTCTTGGTCGTGCAAAATGTCCTGAATACTTCTGTAGCCCGCCTTGACAAACCGGTACGCCGTTTTGTCCCCGACGCCGTATATTTTCCTGAATTGCGTCATCAGCTGGTACCGCTCGTCGCCCATCTCCTGCTGTTTCAGCGTTTCAAGCTTTGAAAACGTGCCCGTTTGTAGGATCTCCTCCACGTGCTGCGCAATGCCTCCGCGGTCTAGTCCGAACCGTTTGAGGTCCTGCGCACTTGTCAGCGGCTTGTCCAAGCTCTCGATCGCGCTGATCGCCAGCCGGTAGTTCTTGATGCGGAAAGCGTTGTTTTTGTCGAAAAACTGCATCAGCTCGTATATCCTAATGGCTTCCTCAAACCGCTCCACCACCTTGGCGTTGTTCGCAAACTCGCCCATCCGACCTTTTTCGCCGTGCGCTCCCATGCTCAAAAATCCAACCAGACGCTGGTCCGCCTTGTGCGGGTCGCTTGCTTCCAATTGCTCTGGCTCCCTTGAAACTTCCTGCTTTTTCTCATCAAAGCTGTACCTATACTGGTCAAGAGGCATCAATCGCCTGTTCACAAGCGAGTCCACCACCCACTCGGGACTGACGACCGGCTGCTCGCGGTATTTGGCTCCCACCGAGCTGTCAAACTTGGCCCTGCTAAACGGCCTGGTCACCACCACTATTGAGTCCGGGCTCTTTACCACAGAGTCCAGAACTGCCCCCTGCCGTTTCCAGATATCCATGCGGGCTCGATCGACTTTCGACCGCGACCGCGGCACCACCACGAGTCTCACCCCCTGAAGTATTTTTTCTTGTCCACCGCCCATGTAAAAAAACAATACTAGCTAGGTACGAGGAGAAAATTTACCTGGATAATAAAACTAGTGTCAAATCGATCTTGCTCTATATTTACGTTGAGGAGTTTTTTGCTCTTGCAGTTGACAGTGTAGCTACAATAACAGAGGCTGCTGCAAGCACACAGGACATACTTTTGAGATGCCGTTCAACGTCGTATCCGACTCTACCAAGACAATGTCCCTGTCTTCGGAACATTTAGCCCACTCCGCTTACGGGACGAAAAGCATAGGTAACGCAGGCCCCAGAACATCACGATCGAGCTCCATCAAGATGCTCAAGCAGAAACTGCAGTCGTTGGCCGGCACGAGTCCAATGAACCCTGCTCCCTACTCCCCCAGAAACAGCCTCGATGTGCACTCTTTCACTCTGAGCAACGACGATCTCTCTGGCGAGGCTGCCGACTTCAGCAAGACAAACATGAAACCCTACAACGACGCGCTGGCCTCTTATCTTTCGCAGTGTGGTTTCAGCACCAGCCTGGTGAAGTTTAAACACGGCGTGAAAATCGGCAGGTCTGCGCTCAAAATATTTGGCAGCTCTACTCCAAAGTCTGTGCAGGCTTTCCTGTCCGGAACAGGCCAAATGCTGTTTCTGCCGTACAATCCGACCAGAAAGAAGGACCAGCCTGCAGACGACGCCCTGGAAGAGGACGAAGAAAATGATATGGACGAGTCTGACATCGACGAGACCCCGGAACCAGGACAGCAGGGTCCGCGCCAGCCGCGAACTTTGCATCACACTGTGGCCAGCCACACGTTCGTGGTGGTCATCAGACTCCTGAAGAGCCAGTCGCTGACTTCTGTAGCTCGGGCGCGCTACTACGCCGACGCGACAACGAACTGGACTTCGGGCATCAGCGTGGAAAATTCAAAGGGAAAATACAAATTGGCTTTTAAGGAGAAGTACAGAGTCTCTAAAGACATTGACTGGGACCTGGATCTCCGCAACCCGGACTGCTTTATTCCGTTCAAAGTCTTTGACAGCGATCCAGATAGTGCAGAGGAGTTCAACTTCGAATTTGCTCAGGATGCAGAGTCGGAATTCACGTCGTCCACCAAAGCATCGGCAGAAATCCTGCGCTCCTCATCCGCAGCACAAGAACTCAGATACTACGAACCCCTGAATCCCAAAGACTTTGTCAACGAAATCGACGACAACGGGAAAGACACTGTCAAACACGAAGACCTTTTTGCAGGGGTCGAAGCTGAAGCACGCAATTTCCAGCCCGGCTATTACGTATTTTTGCTTCCTGTGGTATACCCCATCAACGCTCCCGAGACCATCCGAACTCCTCTCGCGACTGTCTCACACAACCTGCATGTGCAACTTGAATCTGCCCAATACGTTCCCGCCATTGCTCCTCCTCCTTCAGCTTTGCTTTCCGTTCCGCAACACCACCGATATGAAGACACCGACATGGTGGGAAGCTATTTCAATTCCAACACCTCCAAGAGCATTCGAAGAAAGATCGGCCGCCGTAGATCTTCCTCCGTCTCTTCGACGGGCTCAGCTTCACACAAGCCTGCAAACCCGATGTATGATTTTAGCCATGAGCTTCCAGTTATTCGTCTGCCTCCTTTCGACGCGACGTCCACTTTAAACAAATCCATCTACGTCAACAAAATCTGGAGCGATTCTCTCAATTACGAAATTTTGCTGCCTCGTAAGTTCATCCAGCTTTCTCCGAAGTCTGGCATCAACGACACGTTCATGAGAACTTCGACTTTCGTTTTGCAGATGAAGCTCATTCCTTTGGTGAAAAACCTTTCTCTGAAGCGGATCAAGATCAACATTGTGGAAAAGATTACCTACATCTCAAAGGACCGCAAGTACGAGACCGAGGTTGGCTCGATGGACCGTTCTGGATGCAAGGAGCGCAAAGTGACGATGATGGAGATCAAAACAAAGGAGAAGAACCATACTTCCGCAATGAACACCCAGATCATCAAGGGCTGTGTTAACGAAAACCTTCTGACGTTCTGTTACAACAACGGGAAACTGCCCGATTCCGAAGGGCGGAGCCGGTCTGGATCTTTGAATAACTTGCATCTGGGGACAAAAAGAATGGCCAAGCTGCTAGAACCGTCTAAAAACTCCAGCTCCAGCTCTTTGACTTCAACCCCACAGGAGGAAGTAAGCATTACGAATCCTATCAAATTGCAATGCCCGCTACGTTTTATTGCAAACGACGAAATGAAATTCATTTCCGAAACTCACGACGCCCTTACTCAAAACGGCATCGATGGCAACGACCACGATATCGATCCGCCTCCTGTAGGTGACGAGGTGTCCATTTTCTCAATGAGTTCCCAGGGCGAAACCGACCAGCAGGAGGAGGAGAGCTCTGGATGGCTGTCTAAATCGCCTTTGCTTTCGCCTATTCTGTCTCCAAAGAAGTCAAATTGCTCACCAAAGATGTCAGCTAAAGAAGAGGACCGGTTGCAAGAATTCTCGTTCTATCCCGACACTAATTTCCACAACGTGAATATCAAACATCGACTGCAAGTTTGTTTCCGCATCAGCAAGCCCTACGAAAACAAGACTGACCACAACGGCGAGCCCAAAATGCATCACTACGAAGTGATTGTGGACACGCCTATTGTTTTTGTGTCGCCTTTCTGTGTGCGCGAAAATGTTGAGCTTCCCAGCTATGAATATGCCGTGAGATCGTCAGCGCTCGACTCCTCAAAACCGACCGACGGATTTGCTTTTAGTGCTGATTGCGAGCAGAACAACGACATCGACGAAGATCTGCCAACTTTCGAAGAGGCCGTGTTGCAGCCTTCGTCTCCGATGATGAGCGGCTACAACATCCCGAACCAATACTTTTCGACGTTCAATTCCACCACGATGCTTTCGCAGTCGCCGTTCTCGATCGGGTCCAGCTCGCCTCCTGCATCTTACAGCATGGGCCATAACGGCAGCAGTTTGAGCGGGCTCAACTTGAACAACTTGAACAACTTGAACGACGTGAGCTTCAATAACCTAGACAGCTTGCTTCAGACGGCAGACGCAAACAACGAGGAGCTATTTGCAAAGAAGGATATCAAGCCCTCCAGCGCGGGAGGCCAGCTGAGTAGCCTTCTGAAGCCGTCCGACTCAAAGGAGAACGTCATTAGCCCTCCTGCAATTATCATCAATGGAAAATTTGACTACGAGAACGCCAGCCATGTTCCGTCGAGATCTTCTCTGGCATATTACGAGGACGATCTTCCGTCCTACCAGAAAGTGATCGAGCAAGACTCTCATCACATGGAAGAAAACTTAGGACTTCTTTCCGACGGTGACGACATTGAGGGCGACGAAACATTCCATCTCACACACGGCAATCAAAGTCTATGTACTTTGGATCTGAATACCGTGCCGGCTCAGGCCACCAGTATCCTGGACTAGGCACGTTAAAATATATACAATTTACTCTTGAGATTGTTCGATGCGGTAGATGTCTCCGTGTGCTTTCATCTGGGCCAATATCTCTTCTCTTCCGCCACCCTCCTTGGGAGCCACTCCTCTGGACACAGGCGACTCGAATACGGATCCGGCAAGGACGATTCTGTCGGTGAATGGGTCGATGTTGAACGCCAGATACTCTGTTAGATCTCTGACGTTGTTCTGGGCGTCTTGGCCCGCCTTTTTGACGACAAGCTGTTGTCTAGTGTCAAACCTGTAGACGATTTGCAGAAGAAGGGGCACTCCGTCCTCGTGCGGAAACGAGTGCACGCTGATTATTTTTGGTACCGAGTTGAACTTCACGAGCTCCCATCCCATGGTTGTCGAGGCAGGCATGCGATTGGTTCTGGCCTCCAGCGCGTCGTAGACGTACTGGGACACATTTGTACGGATCGATGCCAGTTTTTTCTCAGCAAATCCCTTGTTGACTCTGACAAACGTCTCGATGGCTTCGTTTTTCCATTTAAGAAAGTTGGGCTTGTACTTCTTCCCCATCGACTTCTTGAAGTAGTAGACCTGGACCTGGTTGTATGCAAAAAGCAGCAGACGGTTCCAAATGCTCTTCAAATACACTCTTGGCGCCGTGAGAGGGCTGGGTAAACGGGACATTCTCATGGGGACGTAGGGGTCGAAAGGCACACCGATCCTGTCAATGCCTGGACGCGGCACTGGCTTTTTCGACTTGCTAGCTGTGCTGGAGGTATTGCGTGCAAAGTTCAGCAGCGAACGGGCTGCTGACGGTCTGGCGAAAGAAGATGCTCTGACAAACATTAATTGAATTGAAAAATATTAGTTTTTGGTATTTTTCATACTACGACACCTCAAACCCAAACTTTACAATGCTCATCACCGAGTCGTATGCGGACGTTAAGACGTCCAAGGGAGACACCATGAGAATATACACGTTCCACCCGAAAATCCCCGGATATCCGCGCGCCAGGTTTCCTGGAGTCGTGGTGTACAGCGAGATCTACCAGGTGACTGGTCCCGTTGCACGGTTTGCGAAGAAGATCGCTGCCGAGGGCTACATCTGCGTGGCTCCGTCGATATACCACGATTTTGTCGACCACCGCCCATTGGCCTACGACGTGAAGGGAACCGACGACGGCAACCGGTACAAGGTCGAAAAAACCATCGACTCCTACGACGAGGACAACAAGCTATGCTGTGATTATTTGTGCTCGCTGGATACGTTTAACGGGAAAATTGGTGCCACGGGAATGTGTTTGGGCGGCCACCTGGCATTTCGTGCGCTTCTTGACCAGCGCGTCACCGCGGCGGTGTGTTTCTTTGCTACCGATATCCACTCCAAGTCGCTGGGGAAAGGCGGCGACGATTCGCTGGAGCGAGTGTGCAAGGAGCTCGACAGCCACAGACAGGAGCTCGTGATGTTTTTTGGCACGCTCGACAACCACGTGCCGCCCGAGGGACGCGATCTGATCAGAGCTAAGCTCAGAGACGCGGGGGCCAAGCTCACGTTCATGGAGATCTGCGATGCCCAGCATGCGTTTGTTCGTGACGAGAGTAGCAAGGGCCGCTACGACTCGGCGATCACAAGCTCCTGTCTCGGATTTCTGTTCGAGCTGTTTGACAGAAGACTCAAGACCGATCTGGGCGAAGAAGACCGCAAGCCTGTTCCTGTGGAAAATGTTTGCTAGTTTACTCTTTCTGATAAATATCGTCGTCGCTGTCGTCGTCGCGGTCCATCTGTGCGGCTGCCTGGCGTGGCGTTTCGTCCTCGGATTTAACTTTGAGACTGTCGTTCATCTTCCGTAGCTGATCCATCACCTCTAAAATAAAGGGCCGTATTTCGTTGATCTCCATCAGCGAAAGCCCGTCCAGCTGGATGTACACATGATTGAGCTCCCGAATTCCCTTTCTGGCCTTGACGAGCCGGACTTCGCGCAAGTCCTGGAGCAGGGACCGGATCTCGTGCGGCGGGTCGATAAAGTCGTCGGACGCGTAGTCGAGCAGTTTTTTCGCTATGGGCAGCCAGTGCCATGGCAGATTCGAAAACTTGCTCGGATACTTGATCTCCTCGTCATAGCGCACACGCAGATACTCCACGGACAGCCACTCGGGCACCACGATGTTGCATTTCTCCTGCTTTTTGAGCAACGTTGCGAGCCAGAGCGGGATCTGCTCTCTATTTAGGGCTCGCAGTTTGGGCATTTTAGCGCCTATCAGCTGCGCCCCGTTCATACTGTACCGCGGTATCACCGTGACCAGCTCCTGCTCGGCCAGGAAGTTGATTTCCTGGGGAGAAAAATTCTGCTGGTACGATTTGGGCAGAGACATCGCTCAATACATAGAATATATAAAAATATATAAAATAATACTTATAGTTTTGCATGTCCTTCGACCCCCTAGACTTTTTGTCGCCCAAGCAATACGTCGAAACCGAGCCAGTGCGCCAGGACGTGCCAGAGGAGAAGTCGCATCTGCCAGCACTGCACGTCATGGACCTGCCGCAAATAGGCGCGCGGCCACCCGCTTGTGTTCTCAAGACAGTCCTGTATCTGCTCAAATCAGACGACATTTGCAATTTCGGACAAAGTCCGCAAACGCGATCCATAGAGACGGTCAAGCGAGAACATCCGGCTAGTTTCGCCGCTGCAGAGGCGTGGCTCCGCACCCACTGCCCACTGCTGTACGCCAATTTTTCAGATCTGGCTGCACTGCCAACAAACGATATAGTGTCGTATCTCACTGGCATTTGCGGATGTCCGCTTTCGTGGATGGACGCAGCCGACCGCGAGGAAGTGTGGGCGCTGGCCTCGACAATCATCTCAGAAAACTCCGGGCGGACGGCCGCACCAGGTTTTACGCGGAAAATCACAGTAGACGGACTGCCTCCAATCTGTCTACACGAGCCAGCACTGACAAGCGATAACCTTGGACTGAAGACATGGGGATCGTCGCTCATGCTCGCCCGACGGCTGGTTAATTTTCCGAAGCTGGACGAGCCGATACTCGAGCTCGGGGCAGGAACAGGTCTGGTAGGCATCGCCTGCGGACTGCTGGGATATAAGGATGTTGTTCTCACAGACTTGCCTGAAATAGTGCCGAATTTGAGGGAAAATGTCCTGCTGAACAAGCTGGACCTTCCCTGCGAGGTTCTTGATTGGAAGAACCCGCATGTCTTTGGTAGCCAAAAATTTGCAACCGTCATTGTTAGCGACCCCATCTACTCGGCAGACCACCCCGTCCTGGTTCGTGACGTGGTCGAGCGTTTTCTGGCGCCAGAAAACTCCCAACTACTCGTCCAGCTCCCTCTGCGGCCACGATACGAACACGAACGCGCACTTCTGTGGTCGCTGGTCGAGAGTCTGGGCCTCAAAGAGGTGCAGAGTGTGCAGGAAGAAGGCTTTGACGATTTCGGCGAGCAGTCGTTTGTGTTCAAGGTGTATAAACCGTAATCAAATGCTTCGATGCCTCAGACCCATATATGGCATTTGGGAATCGAAACCGTCCTCGTCCTGATCGTCCTCGTCGAGATCCTCGCTTGAAGACGTTTGGTTGACGTCGTTGGCTGTGTTTCTGCTCAGCTTGCGGCCGCGTTCTATGGCCCTCTCAACTTCCAGTCGGTTTCTAATAAACAGCAGCTTCGGATACGTCACGTGCTCTGCGTTCGACATGAGCTCCGCAAGCTGTTCCTCTGTGGGGTCGCCTAGCAGATCGAAATAATCTGCTATTTTTATTTTCGGGAATATTGTGATGGTGCCGTCAAATCGCTGCAGAAACACGTCCGACCAGTCGCTCTCGAGGAAATTCGGGATGATCTGGAAGTCCTTCATCATTTTGAGCCACTTGATGCCCTCCAGCTTGATGAGGTTCTCGAAGTAGCTGGGAAGAAAACCACCGCGGAAACTCTTCCCCTTTGGACGTGGCACAGGACGACCGACATCTCCACGGCTCTTGTAGAACCACAGCAGGACGTGCGGGTTCACCTGCGACACAATTGTGAACTTGACGTTGAAGTACGCGTTGAGCGACTGCAACGGGATGTCCGACCGCAGAGACCCGTCCTGCCACTTGCTTCCAAATGAAAACGGCCTGATTTTCTGCGTTTTCCTGTCTTTCTCCATCAACACCACGGGCTTGAGGACGCCAGGAACGGCGGCCGAGGCAAGCAACGCGGACCAGATACAGCAGTTTGGCGCCGTGATGTAATTGCACACAACCTCAGACGAGTGCATTTCGTGCGGTGTGGTCGAAATGTTAAGAACCTTACCCGTGCGCTCGAAACTCTCCTGGAACGTGGTGGAGCCAAGAGTCCACCACTGAGCCTTGCGGGCCAGGCTGATTGGGTCGAAAACCACACCGGTGGCCCACCATTGCCTGATCCAGTCCATCATAGTCTTCCCGTCCGCGGCGTTGATGCGCTTAGCAAGCTTCGGCGTCAGCAGCGAAAGAAGCTCCTTGTTAGTTCTGGTGGTGGCCAGCGCAGCAATGATGCCGCCGCCAGAGGTGCCGCTCATAATGTTTGGCAAAAGGTCGTTTTCCAGCAGCGCTTTGAGAACCCCGTAATGATTATAGCAGAAGGACGCCCCTCCGCTCAGCGCGAGCGCCGTCTTGCCGTAGTTTCGCGAGACGATCTTGAAAAAAATGTGTTTTTCCTCAATAGCAACCTTATCCGTCTCTGTGATGGCGTTGATCGACGAAACAACCTCATGCAGGTAGTCCTGGATCAGAAGTTTTGTGCCGTAGTAGCACTGCGAATAAAGAATCGGGTTCTCGATGCCAGCAAAGTTCGACTTGACACACGTCTGCAGAACCACCATTAGCTCCTCATAGTTTTCCTCCAGCCGCAGACGGCGCAGGTCGGCCTTGAGCCGCCGCAGCGTCCGCCAGTCGTACTCTGACGACCGGTCCTCGAGCTTCCACTCGTCGAGGCCGAGCTGTGCATCCACCTCCTTGGCCTTCGCCACGTAGTCGTCGTAGCTTGTCGCGCTCTGGAGCTTGGCCATCAAGCGTCTGCGCTCCGCTGTGTTTGCCAGAATTTGTTCGCTCACCAATACAGACAGTCTCACAATCACGTACAGTATGCTCAGTACTGCCAGCCAGAGCATGATAAAGAACAAAAACGGGTATCTGAGGACCTGGAAACTGAGCGAGTTGGTGGCGTCAAACGGCCCTGAGCCGGAGACACGCTCAGCTACCACTGGCTTGTGGCGTTTGCGCTTTGCATGCGGGTACTCCAGGTTGGTGACCGAGCTCACCCGGGAGATTACCGACTCGTCGGCAGCCTGATTGTCAGCATTGAGAGCCTCTTCAAAAGCCAGGATGTCTGCGTGTGTTAGCCTTGTCGACGTGGGACTCACCTTCATCGTCTGTAAAATTGGCATCCAGGTTGTCTGCACTCATAGAGGAAGATAAAGAATAATTACTAAAATATTTTACATCACTTATCGATGTGCATCATACGTGGTGTGTCGGGTACCAAAACGAAGCGCCATATTACAAAACCTTGCTTGCTACATATCTTTTTCTCTCCGGTAGACCCGCTAAACCTGGTTGTCGCCTAGACTCTTGCGGAGCATGTGGCTCTTGTAGTCGTCGAACTTGAACGAGAGCCGTCTCCCCGGATCACCAGGCCGATCCTGCGGGGGAGAGTCCTGCTGGTTGGCATGCGGGCGAGGAATCGACGAAGACGTCGTCTGCACGTCTGTGATTTGCCCCACTATCCGCTCGTAGTTACGGCTGGATATCACGGATGCAGCGTCGTCGGCGTCGTCGTGGTGCGACATCTGGCGCCTGTGGTACTGCGGCAGCATTCTCTGGTACGTCGACTCCTCTGATTTTCTTCTCTCGAGCTGCCTCTGGGGCGAGTCGGTCTCGTGATGTGTGTATGCTTCGAGTTCGCTTTTGTAGTTGTTGGTGGAACTTCTGCGGACCGTTGGCCGCGTGAACGTCTCAATTGGTGTGCGACATGCTGGGGGTGGCTCTTCTCCCATGATGTTGGCTGGAATGGTATTTTTTGGATCGGGGATGCGAAATAGAAGAAGAGCAAAATATATATCCCTTTTTTTGATAGGTTCACGCCACAATCCGGGGAAACATCTCTGCACTGGAAAATTGTTCGTGACTCAACATATTATGCTTCGTCGAGGTCGGCTGCAGACGGCTCCGAACGTGTGGAAACGGGCGCTTTCCAACTTCGAGTCACGCATCACGCGCCACGAGACCTCCAGAGACGACAAAAAAGACCTGATCCTCACAATCCTCAGCAGCACAGCCACCAAGCGGGAGGCTCGTAATTATCTCTCCAAGTATCCTCTGCTCAAGGAAAACGACATCTACCAGAGTCACAGGCGCATTCTGGACAGCGACGTGGCGCTGCAGACAAGCAAACATGACAGGCTCATCAACGACTTGCTGCTCAAGCACTCAGCCAGAAGCGAGATCCAGCTGCCGGAGCAGTCCCAGAAGCCAGAGATCCAGCTCTCGGACACGCTGCGCATAGCCCTGATCAGGATCCCGACGCCGCGACGGCTCGATTCGGAGATTTTGCGGGGAATCGCCCTGACGCTGCGAAAATTGGTGCAGCTTGGCGTGTCGCCGGTTCTGGTGCTCGACGGAAAGCACCAGATAACTGCCAGCGACTCTGGGCTGCTGACCGTCAAAGACTTTGTGCACCAGTGCGACACGCTGATCCAGGCCCTCCAGACGGAGAATCTGCAGGCACGGACGGTCAGGGGCCTTTTCGAGCAGGAAAGCTTCTCGCTGCCCGAACTGCTGGTGGTGCCGCTGCTGCACGGTATTGTCCCAATCATATTTCCGACAACGGTCGAGAAAGACAGCACGGAGGTCCTGATGACGCCCTTCGAGACACTGAAGTGTCTGGTGTCGAACCTGGCCGGCTTCAACGAGGCGTATCGTCGCAGCAACGCAAACGATCTGCTCACCGTCGAGAAAATCATCTACTTCGAGGAACTCGGCGGGATCCCGTCGCTGGAACGGTTCCAGTCGAGTCACGTGTACATAAACTTGCTCCAGGAGTACGACGACATCATCTCGGAGCTTCACATCGGCCACTTGGACTCCTCCGTCAGGGACGTGCATGCACAGAATCTCACGGAAATGAACCAGCTGCTGGCGATCCAGCCGGCCGCCACGGGGCTCATCACGACGCCGGCCATTGCCACGCTGCGCCACGGCACGCGCACAACCAACCCGATCATCTACAACGTCCTAACTGACCGCCCGATCATCTCGTCGTCGCTGCCGGTGAACCTGAAAAAGACGCCGCAGCTCAACACGACGGTGATCCGGCGCGGCACGCCGCTCACAATCCATCTCTCGGACGACCAGCCGGACGGCAAGGGCATCGATTTATTGGAGTTCGACCGGCAGAAAATCGTCGACCTGAATAAATTAACTCATCTTATAAACGACTCGTTTGGCAAGACCCTGGACCTCGAGCACTACCTGAGCCGAGTAAACGGCAACATCGCGGCCATCATCATCGCAGGCGACTACGAGGGTGGCGCGATCGTCACCTGGGAGTCTGCGGGCGGGCGCAGGGTGCCGTATCTCGACAAATTCGCAGTGCTGCGCAAATTGCAAGGCATCCCCGGCATAGCAGACGTCGTGTTCAAGTCCCTGCTGCTCACGTACCCCGACGAGCTGCTGTGGCGCTCCAGAAAGAACAACCCGGTCAACAAGTGGTATTTTGACCGGTCCACAAGCAATTACTGCATTCCCAACACCAACTGGAGGTTATTTTTTAGCGGGAGCAGAGTGCGCACGCTGGACGACCTCAAGGCTTACGTCGACGTGTGCTCAAAAATAGAGCCCTCCTTTGTGTAATCAGCCAAGACTCTTCGACATGTATGGTCCGTCCAACTCGTAACCAAGCCGCTTGTAGTAATTTCTCACACCCACGCCCGAGATCACGCTTATCTTGGCCGAACCGTGCTCCTCACGCGCGATGCGCTCGGCCTCCTCCATAAGCAGCGTGCCAAAACCCTGGTGCTGGAATTTTCGCGGGTCTCGTGAGTGCAAGGGTACCACAGAGCCGTAGACGTGCAACTCTCGCACAATCGAAGTCTGCTGGCCGCGGAATTCTTTTCGGTACGTGTACTTCTTCGAGGCCTTTCTCAGACGCAAAAGACCAATCAGAATGTCCTGTTTCGGGTCCTCGTACGACAAAAAAGTCTCCCACCCGCCGTTGGCGTAGTAGTCGCGGCGGATCAGCTCCACCTGGTCCGGCTGCACTTTGTGGTGCACCTCCTGGATTCCTGCCTCTCTGGTCCGCACGTCGCGGCAAGTGGTGCCGAAATCCTTCATCCTGGCCAGCGCAAGCTCCCGCAGGTTGCCGTTGTCGACTCCAGACGTCACCAGCGGCATCGGAATGTCTCTCTGGACTCTATAAATTCTCGTCCACGGAGGCACCAACGCCATGATCCGCGCCACCAGATCGATCAGCATGTTGGCGTTGTACGACTTGTAAAGTCCCTTTTTCCACAACTCATACAGTCCCGTGCCTCTGATCACCAGAGTCGGATAAAGCTTGAGTCCGTCGGTTCGGAAATCTGGGTTCTCAAAGTACTCTTTAAACTGCTCCAGATCGCGCTCCATTCCCACGTTAGGCAGGTCTGGCATCATGTGAGAAACAACCTTGTACCCTGCGTCTTTGGCGTAGCAGAACGTCTCGCACACAGCCTTGACGGTGTGGCCTCTGTTGGTGTCTCTAGCCACGTCCTCGTACACAGACTGGACACCGATTTCGAGTCTTGTGCAGCCGTACTTCAACATATCGTCTAAATGCGTCTCTGTGCAGTAGTCGGGACGCGTTTCGATGGTGATGCCGACACATTTGGTCTCGGATTCCTGCGAAAACTGGATCGCCTCGTCTATATCTGTTCCGTTGTAGCCTGTCAACGCGTTGTGCAGTTGAACAATGAAGTTCTCTCTGTAGTCCTTCGGCAGCGACATGAACGTTCCTCCCATGATGATATACTCGACCTTGTCGATGGAATGGCCTATCTGCTTCAACTGCTCAATTCTGCCCCTCGCCTGCTCGTAGGGATCGTATCTGGCCCTGATCGCCCGCATAGACGTGGGCTCGTATCCGGTATATGACTGTGTCGAGTACTCAAAGTCCGAGTCCGGTCCTCCCGGACAGTAGACACAGATATTGCCCGTGTATGCGATATGGGGGCACCTGTGGGGCTTGCACATCACGGCCACCACGGCAACACCAGAAGCCGTTCTAACGGGCTTGGCTTTTAGTTTCGGTAGTAGGTACTTTTTGTACTGGTCGGGGATCGACGAGATGATGTCTGTCAGCCGTGGCTGCTGCTTGAGCTTGTACTTTTTAGAGTATCTGATGATCAGGCCGTTCAGATTAATGTCTTTAGAGTTGCTCAGCGACGACACAAGCTCCAGCGAGATGTCTCCGCAGCACTGCAGAAACCTCTCCTTCTCAGAAGCCATCTTCGGCTTACCCTTAGGACCCTTGGTTCCCACGATCATGATTATAATTGAATTTTTTTAATTGCCTAAATTTTTTTTATTGACACGCCGCTCATGGCAGGAAAATAAACAAGTGGAAAAATAACAGTATGAGCGAAACTGAGCGAGACAACTACACAAGCATAGATCTCGCAATGTCTCAGAATACACAAAATCTCGGCGACGTCGGTACCGTGATTGAGAACCTAGCCGTTCAGAACTCAGTGCCGGCTGAAGGTCCCGAGGCTGATCTTGCTAGCAACGAGATCGACAAACAAGACCATCATGAGGGCTTGTCGAGTCCTGCTGGCATCGAGACCGCTATGCTACCCGGGTCCGAACCTTCGCGCACAGAAGATGACATTGACCTCCCCGAGGATTCTTCAGATCAGCTACCGTCAGCTAAGTCCGCGGAAACAGCGCCTCACGAGAAGGCAATCTCCGACAACTACCAGACCCAGGAATCGGCTGTGTTGGGGCCTGAGGAAGGAGTCCTAAGTGAGGAGGTTCCGGCTGATTCATCAGAGCCTCTTCAGGACACGCCCGAGGTCTCCTTAGAGCCAGATCTGCATCCTCAGGACCCCTTACTCGTCGACAGCATACCGTCCAACGACGTCGTGCAGCACCGAGAACAGCCAGACGTGTCCACTTCTCCATTGGTTGTGGACGACACACAGCTCGAAGGCAAAGATGAGACAGAACACCTAATAGAGACACTTAGTGTGGCGAACGCTGACGAGACGTCATTGGCAGCACAGCCGAGTGAGACAGAGAACCACCCAAACACAAAGACGGTCCCATTGCCCGTGGAGACGCACCAGGAGATGGATGCTGTTCAAGACACACCTGAAGAACCTGAACAGGTTGCAACAGCTGATGCATCTGCATCCAATATCGCTGACATCGTAGAAGACCCTTCCCAGGAACAGTTGTTAGGCGAAGCAAATAAACGTGAACCTCTGGATTCTTTTGATCTTGCAAAGACGGCGCCCATTGAGAGATCACAACCAGAAGAGCCCACGCTGCCGTGGGACGAGGAGCCGGTGGAATCACTTCCTTGGGAGACTGATGGTCCATCTAAACCTCTGTCTGAGGAACAGCCTCTGCAGCAGCCCGAGGAGACAGCTCCTGAGCAGTCCCTGGCGGACTCCCCGGAACACTCTCCAGAGCAGTCGCCTGAACAACCTCAAGATGAGGTTCTTCCATGGGACACCGAGCCTCGCGAGCCATTACCTTGGGAGGCAACTTCTGGCGACGGCTATGAAAATGGAGCAAACGCGACTCAGGATTTCCTGGAGTCAATAGGTGTTGAGAATTCTACTGAGGCTCCTAAAAATATTCCCTCTGAGGAGATTCCCAACGTTGTGAAGGATGGTCAAGCAGAAAAGTCTCTGGAAGCTAGCGAACAAGATTTGACAGCTACAGTGAAGCCAGAAGAGCCACGCGAGGAACAAAAAAAGGAGCCCAAGTTGGATGACAAGCTGAGTTTCCTTGAGGGTGATAACGAGCTACTTCTAGACGAAGTTTTAGATGACGATTTCTTGGATGACGAGCCGTCTACTGCACCGGCCACGACTCCTGTTCCTCAGGCGCCTGCTCCGGCGTTTGCATCACGCTATGCCCCGCAGGGATTGCAGGCGACGTCACCACCACCACCTCCCGTTCTGACATCATCGTACACCAACTTCCAAGGTCCATCGTTGCAGCAGTCTCATATCAAGGAAAAATTGGAAAAGGAGAAGAAAAAGACGGATGCATACGATTTCCCTGCAGAGCTGTTGGCCAAACACACTCCTATCTCGAAAACGCCAGCTCCAAAGCAGAACGTGTATACTATGATCGAGCTTCAGAAAAGCCACGCAAACAATCCAGCATCTCCAGCGTCGCAATCGAATCCTTTGCCCCCACGGACCGGCAGCATCTCGTCCACTCGTTCGACGCCTCCACCTGGAAGAGCAACACTTAAGCCACAAAAAAGCTTTTTCGAGGAACTCCCGCTCCCTAGCATTGGATCCGCTTCTTTGCCTGCTAAAAATCCATATGAGATAAATCCGTCCAGCTCGACAGTTAGAAATCCATACCAGCCAAAATCGCCCGGAATTTCAAGGACCAGCCCTTACTCGCCTGTTGTTGCCAACGCTCAGCTAGCTGGCATTAATCAACCTGCAGCAGGTGGCCCTCATCCTCTACCTCCTATTGGTGGTAGGCCGAGAAAGTCTACCAACCCGTATGCGCCAGCCGAAGCTGGAGGGCATGCGAGAACCTCATCGACGACTTCTAATCCACCAGTGAATCCCAATGTTGTTCCAGTGCCCCACAAGTCGCCGATCGCCAAAATGGCCAGTCCAAGAATTCCTACTACACACCCGCAGTTTCCTCAGCCTGCCAACGATGTCAACAATTTTGGGGTACCACAACCGCAGCTTGGCGCTTCCCAGCCACAAGCAAGACATCCGTCAAATCTGCAGAAAGCTACAAAGTATTCTCCATATACACCGCAAGCTCAGCAATCAAAACTTGTTCCATTTCCCCACCCGCTTGGTCAACCAAAAAGCAACTATCAGCCGTTAGACTCAGTGTATGGTGACAATTTGAAGCCGGACACTAGTTCTCCTTCAGTATCACACAAGCGAAGAAGCTCATTTCTTCCACCGGGGAAGAACTCCGGATATTCTTCTACACGAAGCAATGCATCCACTCATCTGGTCCAGTCCACTCCAGCACCAGTTGTTGTGAATCCGGAAAACCTGGTCAGAAGACAGTGGCCGTTGTTTAGCTTTTCAGGCTCTAACAAAGTGGCATACCTTGTTCCTTCTTCCTATGGCTACGGACATCACAAACACAATGTTAAAATTGTGGACGGAAACTACGTTTTCAAAAATGAAGTACTCGTACAGCAGTTCCCTGGTCCTTTGGTCAAAAACAAAACCAAGAAGAAGGATGTTGAAAAATGGATCAACGATAAGCTACTGTCTTTGGGAGCTGACTTGGAAGGCCCATTCACATCGGAGGTCCACCTTCTATGGGCTGTGATGAGAGCACTTGTCACGAACATCAACAAGCCTGGTGACTTTGCGCAAAAAGAGTATCTGCGAAGCGTCGTACAAGTATTGAATCCTTCTCTGGCGGTCAATAGCCAAGAAGGGCCTACTGAATTGAGCACCATTGAGAACTATTATGTTCCTAACCAAAAGCCTTTCAATGCGCACAAACTCGAAAAAGTTGGTTTGCTGAACCTTAGCAAGTATCTGGAAGCTGGAGACAAACTTGGTGCTCTTCAAATGGCCATTGTTGAGGAGGACTGGGCGATTGCATTGATTGTTGCGAACATGCTAGGGCAAGAAGCATTTGCTAAAGTCACTAAACTGTACACCGAAAGGAACTTTGATGGCGCGGATGTTCTTCAACAGAATCTGAGTTTCTGTTTACAATCGTCAGGCGAGAACGAATTTAGTGCCGAGCAGCTGCATGGTAAAGAGGAGTGGGTAATTGACAACTTTAGATCTGTTATTCCGTTTGTCCTTCTCAACAACAAGAATCCTGCCTCTGTGCTGGTTCAGGTTGGTAGTTTACTTTCAGAGGCTGGCTTTGAGCTCCACGGAAAAATCTGCTTCTTGTTGTCTGGTTTACCGCTGATCCCAAAAATCCAAACCTTTTCGCCTAGCAGCATTGATTCTATGATCATTGATGAGCTCTATGAGTACATCTTGAGCTCGTCCTCAAACATCCCTCCAGCCTTTTCGAATGGTTTCCCACATATTCTTTCCGTCAAGGTTCATCATGCTTCATATTTGTTGGACGTTGGTCACTTTGCGGAAGCTAAGAAATACGTTGATCACACAACAGGAATCATCAAGTCCAAAGCTACCTACGTTGACCCTGCCGTTGCATTTGCCAATGGCCAGCTGTTGGAAAGACTTTCGCAAACAGAGATTGAGGTCTCTGGATGGTTCGGCGGAAAGTTGGGCAGATCTGGACTGGACAAGGTTTGGGGCCACCTAGACAAGTCGTTCAACAAATTCGTTGCAGGTGAGGAGCTTGAAGATGGCAAAAAAGCCAAATCGGAAGGTGTTTTTGCCAAATATAGCCCTGCCCCTTCTCGCACTCACTCTCAGATGGATTTGTCCAACATACAGCCACAGTCTCAGCCTGTGATGCCAACTTACCAAACATTGTCCAGAGCACCGTCGTTTGGCATGTACTCCTCTTCTTCTCACTCGCAATCTGCTCCTACAACGTCGTCAACTTCCACTCTTATTCAATCCCATCAGTCTTCTTACTCTCAGGCAAAAACAAAATCCAAAAAGGCCTCCACTTATGCCCCTCTTTCTCCGCAAAACGCTGGCATCGTTTACGATAATGAGAAGCCGGTCCTGAATACTGCTCCACCGTCGTCCCCTGGATCGTCCCCTTCAGCGCAAACAGCGGGTCAAAGCCCGTCTGCCCCTCGGTATCCACCTGCTGCTGCAAGGTCCAACTCTTTTGCGGAAGTCGGACGCTCTCGCCCTGATTTGCCGTTTACAACCTCTACTCCAGGGCCGGGCCAAACTTATGCTCCTCAAACCCCGTTGCAATTGGACAACCGCGAGGCTTGTGGAAAAGTTTCCAAATATGGTCCTCGGAAAGAGCTAGCAGATTATGGAGCTTACACGCCTGCTCCAATTGATAAGGAGGAAAAGCCAGATCTTGGCGAGGAGTATGATACGTCGATAATGACCGACGACATCGTTCAGCAGCCAGCTGCCAGAAAGTTTGTTCCAAACCGAGTCGAGTCGCTCGTTATTTCTCCTGTTCAGTCGAACGAGCCTTCATCTCCGCCGCAGGCGACTGCCCCGCCACCTGAACCACAGGCTGAAAATGAATCACCAAAGCCTTCTACTGCCGAGCCAAAGAAACCCAAAATTTACAACCCATATGCGCACGTGACCTCGAGAAAGGTGAACGGCTCGAACCAGAGCCGGTACAAGCCTCCTACGAACGTCACAGCTGAGTCTACGCAGAGCCCTGACGACACCAAGGACCAGGACTTCCAGGCTCCGGAGTTCGACTCCTACGATTTCTACAGCTATGGAGGCTACCATGCCCCTACTGCTGCAGAGATCGAGGCCGCTAAGAAGGCAGAGGTGGAGGAAAAAGAGAGGCAGGAAAACGAAGCATCGCTTCCGGTTGAAAATGAGCCTAAAGACCACCATAGTCCTGAACTGGAGTCAGATCTTGATTCCGAGCCTAGCGACGAGCCATTGCCTCCTCCTAGTGGCAGAATTTTAAGGCCTGCTGCCTCATTCCATGCTGCTGACGCAAGCCATCTCCAGAGCATGTTTGATCCTCCATCTGCTCCGTACAGACAGGCTAGGTCACCGGCTACTGTTATCACGGACCAGAAGAGGTATCACGCTGAAGATGATGACCAGGAGTACTATGACGACGTGGTTGATGATGACGATGATGACGAAGAAACGAAGGAGCAGAAGAAAAAGCAAGATGAAGAAGAGAAAAAGAAGAAAAAGGAGCAAGAAGCCAAGCAAAAGGAAGAAGAGCAAAAGCATGCGGATAAGGGAGGAAGCTCCTGGTTTAGCTGGCTCGGGAAAAAGAAGAACGACCAGCCTAAGCCTATCAGGGCCAAACTGGGCGAAGAAAGCTCGTTCTACTACGACGAGAAGCTAAAGAGATGGGTGAATAAGAACGCGTCGCCGGAGGAGCAGGCTGCTTCAACCCCGCCGCCGCCGCCTCCTGTCAAGCGGGCTGTTTCGGATTCTGCATCTGGCCAGCCTCTGTCCGACAAGCCTAACGCAATGGGAGCACCTCCGCGTGGGCCGCCAGCGGGTCCGCCTACTCCGGCAACATTGAACGGCACGAAAAAAACGGACAACATCGAGGATTTGCTTTCGATGTCTGTTTCGACAACGCGCAAGTCCAAGCGTGGTCCGCGCCGTGGCTACGTTGACGTGATGGGCAATAAATAGAGAGCTATCTTGTGTCATAATACCTAAAGTCTAGCTGGCGCACCTTATCCTCGAGGTCGACGAGCTTTAGACAGGGCACTATGGACGAGAGTTTGGAGATGCCAATGAGTGCCAGCGTGCAGTCAGGCAGTGTGAGTCTGTACAGTCTGAGGTTTTTGTCTAGCGAAGCGATGATGACGAGGAAGGAGAACTCGTTAATTTTGACGCAATCTAGCGACGCGATGGACCCGATCAGAGCGATGCTGAACTGTTTCACCACTTTTTCGGCAGCCAAGTCGAAGATGCCGATCGCATTGAACGAGTCCATGAACAGGATCTTGGACTTGTTCAGCGTGGTGATGTGGTTGATGGAATGCGGAGAGAGCTGAAATACTTGGATGGGCACCTTGGCGAAGTACGGCTTGTACATCAGCAATTTGCCGAACTTCGTCGTCGCGAGAATCGTGAGGTCGGCGTCCTCGCGCGACTCGCGCACGAACACCGCGTTCTTGAGCCACGGAAAGTCTCCGTTCGGTTTTGGGTTCGCGGTCTTGAACACCGGCTTTATCGTGATAATACTTCTGCATATTCTAAGAAACGTCGACTCCGACGTCTGGCGCTGGTGGCTTTCGTAGTCTTTGCGGAAATCGTACATTTCCAGGCTGTTGTTGTATCCTCCAGTGACAAACTTGAACGGGTTATCCAGCGGGCGGCAGAATTCGACAGGGTCTTCGATCAGCATGAAAAACCCACCTTCAAGGTCTGGCTCGCCAACCAGCTTGTTGATATCGTAGACAGACACCAGTCCCCTGTTGCTGCAGCTGATCAGAAAATGCTCCACTACGTTCAGGGCAACCATAAAGTCTGACCCCAGGCGCAGGTTCTCCGTGAGCGAGATGAACGGCACGGACGAGTCCGCGTTGTAGATGTCGATCAGGCCTCCCTGGCGCGCAATTGCGGTGTACGTAATGTCGTTGAATTTGTATGGGGTGATCTGCTCGATGATAGCGGCCGAGTAGAGCGAGGAGTACTGTGCTGGCGTTGGTCTGGCGAGCCGGATCTTGCGGTTGGCTTCGTTTTGGAATATCGCAATTTCTGGTGTTAGTTGGCCTGCGAGGTCTACTTACCGGTCAGTTTGGCCTTGTCTCGCACTGTCGACAGAAGTATCTTCATGGAGAGGAAGATATCAGAGCGACGCGTCGAAATAATTTTTAAGATTTATTTTGTCATGACCGATGCTCCTCCAGAGGACATGCGTGCGGTCATTGAAAAGACGGCCGGGTTTGTTGTGCGCAACGGCGAGTCATTTGAGCAGCGGCTGTTGACGAAGGAGGCAAACAACCCCAAGTTTGCCTTCCTCAGAAAGGATAACGTGCACCACGAATACTACCAGAAATGCATGCGAGATCTGCGGCGCGGCGAGGCCACCCAACCTCAAAAAGAGGCGCCTGAGGTGCCGGAGCTGCGGTTTATTATCTCCCCGGGCAAGGTTTCTGCCCTGGACGTGGACATGATCAAGCTCGCGGCGCGGTACGTGGCTCTGAACGGTGACGAGTCGATTGAGGTGCTAAAGGAGCACGTTTCTCACGACAAGAAGCAGTCCATCCAGTTCGAGTTCCTGAGCGCGTCGCACTCGCTCCACGGGCTTTTCAGGCAATATTTGGAGTCCTATAAGCTCATTTTGGCAGAAAAGGAGAAAATACAGCACGAACTAGACAACTACGACCAGACGGAGTTCTTGGACCGCTGCTACGCGCGCGCCCAGCAGATGGCCAAGGCAGAGGAGGAACAGACCAAGGAGAAGCAGCGTCTGGAGAAGGAACAAATGGAGTTCGCGTCGATCGACTGGCAGGACTTTGTCGTGGTGGAGACTATCGAGTTCACAGAGGTCGACGAGGTGGCACAGCTGGCGCCGCCGCTCGACCGGGGAGAATTGGAGTACCGCTCGCTGCTGGAGAAGGGAGAGGAGGCGCTTTCTGAGGAAGAAGAGGAGAGCCAGGAAAACGAGGAAGAGGAAGAAGTGCCGTTGTACGAGGAGCAGAAAGAGACTGTGGAGCTGCCAAAGGCACGTCCAGGCATGAAGATACGGTCGGCAGGCGAGTCGCGGCTCAAGAGGAAGCACGAGGACCAGAAGTTTGCGGAAAAGACGAAAAACGGCGAGCGGCAGGTGGTTTGTCCGTTGACCGGACAGCTGATTCCAGAAAGCAAGTTTGGCCAGCACCTTGCCATTCTTCTGCGAGACCCGAAGTACAAGGAGGAAAAAGAGCGGTACGAGGCCAAGATGAGGTACGGCGATGGCCTGAGCACGGACGAAATATACGACAACATCAAACGGCTCGCGGAAATCGACAAGCGACAGAAAACACAGTAAGAGTATCCTAATAAATGACTACAGTATAAATGAATATATGGAGCCCCAAAAGCTCGCTACTGTCGCTTACCTGCATATATTCACTACATTACCTAAGCCTTCAACGAAGAAGCTCTTCTCTTTTTGATCTCAGCCTTCTCAGCCTTACGCTCGTGCAGACGCTGGGCAAGCAGTTGGGCGTACTCAGCAGCAGCATCTCTTTGGGCTTGAGCGTTCTTGACCTTCGCAGCCTTGACAGCTCTCTTTCTTTGGAGTCTCTGAGGAGTGATCAGTCTCTGGATCTTTGGAGCCTTGGTGTACTTCTTGTCGCCTTTAACAACCTCTCTTCTGATAACGAATTGTCTGACGTCGTCCTCCTTGGTCAAACCGTAGAACTTTCTAATGTGGTTGGCTCTCTTAGGACCCAGTCTCTTTGGAACCTGAGTGTCGGTCAGACCCTCGATCTCCTGCTCACCTTGCTTGACAACAACAAGGGACAAGGCAGCAAGGTCGCTACCAACAATGCAACCTCTGACAGACTTTCTCTTTCTCTCTCCGGTTCTTCTTGGTCTGTAACAGGAGGAACCCTTGGTCAAGAGCAACTTGACTCTGTTTGGGATCATGACACCCTGCTTCATTGGGAAACCCTGCTTGTCGTTACCACCGGTGATCTTGAAGACGTAACCCTTGAACTCATCGCTCACGGCGTCTCCCTCGACCTCCTGGCCCATTCTCTTCTCGTAGAAGGCTCTCAGTTTGTGCTCATCGTCGATGTCGATACTCTTCTGGGTACCGTTGGCTGGGTAAGCGATGTTCAACTTCATCGTTAGTACACTTTGGGGATAGTTTCCTGTCTACCTACCTTCATCTTTAGTAGAGAATATTTCACGAATTTTTTTTCGCTGAAAAACAAGCGTGAAAAACTTGTAAGCCCTATACAGAGTCACGTGTCGTGAGGAAAATATTAAAAGCACTTACTCAAGCTACTATACATTTATTTCTCCTCCTCTCGTCGCTCAGCAGCCTGGGCAGCCTGGTTGTAGATCGCCGAGCCGATTACTTGTAGCGGGCTCGTCAGCGTCGAGAAATTCCCCTCCTGCCCCTGTGTGCCGCTGCTGCTTGTCGGGCCACCGTACGCGGTGCCAGACGACGAAGCAGAGCCGCCTTTCTGTCCAGAGTCGCCGTTATTGGCGCATCCCTGTTGTTGATTTAGCTGCTGCGGCACATGATGATTGGGCTGGCCGTTGGCCCCGGGGCCTGGCGGGCCTCCTGGGTTTTGCACGGGCGGATTTCCTGTCCCCATCGGCATAGGCCACTCCTGGCTATAATATACATTGGGCGAGGGGAACATGTCAAGATACCGCGAAGAGAGTCCCGAAGGGAGCAAGGGTGTGTCTCCTGTGTAGTTGAAGAAGGGAGGCGGCCCCGTGGATGACTTTGGCGGGAATTTGGCGCTGTAAGGTGCAAAATTCTGCTGCTGCATTAATTGCTGTTGTTGCGGGCCCAGAGGAAAAACCGGAGTTGGGAGGATCTGTGTCGGCGACATTTGCGGGAGCGAGGAAAAGAGCCCGTGGGGCAGCGTCGCCGACACAGGAGTCGATTTGTTGGAGGAGTTGGACTGATCGAGCGGGTTTTGAGTGTTCTGTTGAGTCATGATGTTGAGCCCCGGCAAGAACGTGTTGGATGTGGGGGTTGCAGCAATGCTCACTTTTTTCCCGTTCTGCGAGGTCCGCGCAGGCGCAGCGCCAGAGTCTCCGCCCTCCTTGTTCTCGTTCAGCTGGCCCGATTCCAGAGCTGTCACCGTGATGTCGCTGTCTGAGTTCGCTCTGTCGTTGCTAGGAATCTGCAAACTCAGGAGCGGCCGCTTGGACAGCTTGGCGTTCAACGGCATCGCGGAGGCCTCCTTGGGCGGCACAAATGTTGGTCTTCGTGGACGATCCTCAGACGACACTGATCTGGAGAGCTTGCGTTTCTTACTTGGAGTTTCCTCGTAGTCAGCGTCGTCGTCCTCGTCTCCGTCCAACTCGGAGTGGTTTTGGTCGTCAGACCCATCCTCGTCCACGGATTCCTGCTTCACGTGTCTGTTGTCGGTTCTGGCTCCCTTCTTAGTCGAGACTCTCGAAACTAACTTGTAATTGCCGTAATCTTGCGGTCTTTTCGACTCCTGAGTCTGTCCAGACCGCTGGTACTTCTCTATCACCGCCTGCGGGTTGTTGGACGAGTACTCGTAGACTTTGTGGTTGTGGCCGATGATGATCACGGCGATGTCGACTTTGCAAAGAATCGAGAGCTCGTGGGCCTTTTTGAACAGCCCGGCTTTTCGCTTCACGAACGTTACAGTTCTGTTCCGCTCGTCATTGATTGGCTGGATCTCGATTTTTCTTCTGCCCATAATGACATAGGTACCTGCTACCGGTGAGCCTTTTTCACTTCCCTGATTTGAGTTTTTTGTTGTCAGTTGCTAATTTTAACTTTTTCAGGGGCCGCGTCGATCGACCTATTGGGGCAGAACAGAATACTGCCGTGCCGGAATATAAGATCGGGATCTGGCCATGTTACTGAGTCCTCTTCTCCAAATGCTGCTCAAAACGTGGCTCTGTGCACTGCTACTTGCCTCGTTTCCAGCAGATTGTCAGCCGGTCCCGCAAAACCTCTCAACGCCGTCGCCAAAGTCAGTCTCGACTTCGTGGGACCTGTCCCGTATCATCAGCCGCCACCAGCCCAAAGGCATTCCGCTCAACGATGAGGACGTATTCGTCTTTCTGGACAAGCTGGCGTCTTTCCTGCAAATCACAAACTGCGACAACAAGCACGGTGGTCTCAAGCTACCATCGGAGGCAGGCCCCACAAGTCTGCAGTTCCCGCCCAAACTGGAGCAGTTCACCAAAATACCGAACAATACCACCGACGTGGAGATAGTGAAACAGCTAAATGCGAAAAAACCGGCTAGCAAGCTCGACTGGATGCAATATCTGCTCAATGGCAAGGGCATGCTATTCCTGGACCACCACTACCGAAAAATCGTCGTTTCGATCAGATCGGATCTCGAGCTCAAAGACTATTTTGCCATCTACAGTGAGAAGGCCATCAGCTTCTGGCCCCAGGTGTATCAGGAAGGTTTCTGGAAGTCGGTCAAGAAGAAAGTGGACCCTGGCATGACGCAACACCCGTACACCTACTACCGGAGCCAGTACTGGGGCTACTACTGGAGAAACTACTTCAAGCTCAACAAAGTGCATTCCGGCTACTTTAACATTGCCGACAGGATGTTCGAGGACATCTTTGTCGAGTACCTCAAGGCCAAGCAGCAGTATCCAGACTACCAGCTGGTGATAGCGGGCCATTCTATGGGCGGCTCTATTGCGTCAATCATAAGTCTGAACTTCCACCTGGTGCAGATCGCCAACCTGCTCGTCACCTTCAACTCGCCCAAGCTTTGGTCCGAGAGTCTCGCCAACATGTACGACAGAGTGTCTGGGACGACTCGAATAAGGGACGTCAACATGGGCCTCGAGTCGGGCTACTTGCGGCTTTGGAACACCAGAGATGCGTGGAATCTGTTCCCGCCCGGCTCTCTTCTGAGCACAGTGCTGTCGACGGCGTTCAAGCACAGCGGGCTGTCGCTGGCGACCGAGCAGAACAAGCTGGACATGGCGATGCGCGACCTGGTGGTCGAATACGATCTTTTGGGCAAGTGGGACTATGAGATGGAGCACAAGCATTGCAAGTTCATCAAGAGCACCGACGAGTTTGTGAACGTCATGTCGTGGGATGCACATCGCGTTTTGCTCCGCGATATCTGGGCCTGTGTAGACCTGAAACCGTGACTTATAGCTCTGTGTCCTGGATTTGCTCTGCAAAAACGGGGCCGTCGTAGTGTTCGAGACTCGGACTTTTCCCGCTTTTGTAGCTGCCCTGGCTGTTCGGGTCGCTTTCGTTGTCGAACGGGCTCTCGTCCGCCACGGCGGGCATCGACAGGTTGAGCGGCGTCATGGGAGGCATCGAGAGCGAGCAGGGCAGGAATTCTGGCGACCGGCCACCGATCGAGTTCGGGACCGACTCTGTTCGTGTCAAGGGGAGGTGGGTCGGGAATCGCGTGTTGAGTCGGAGGCTAGGGGCGTTGATGTAGGACGAGCTGCGCGACTTGAGCGAGTTTGGAGGCGACGACTGGTTCAGGTTGAAGTTGGACGGCGACGCGGCGAGCGACGTGGGGATCAGCGACGGCGAGTCTGGCGCCGCGTGGATCGCCATCGGCTGCGCACGGCCGCTCGTCTTTGGCGACGTGAACGAGTACCTGCGGTAGTACTGCTGCTGCTGCGGGGCCGCACTCGCTGACGACGGCTGGAGCAGCGGCAGACGCGGGTTCGTGAAAGTTCGCTGCAAATTGGACGGGGTGGACGAGAGCGTGGCGACCTGCTGGTTGAGCGACAAAAGCGAGATGTTGGAGGCCGACGTGACCAGATGGCCCTGGGAGTCGAACCCGACGGACGTGGCCAGCAACGCCGGCGACTCTCCGCCAGTTAGCTGGAAATCTCGCGTGTCGCGGGGCTCCAGGTCCACCAGACTGCCGTTCTTCTGGCTAGTTCGTGACAGCAACGTATTGACGCTCTTTGAGTCTTGCAGAGTGGTGCTGGAGCCGTTTTCGTGCATGCTGGGGTTCATCAACTGGTCGCCGAGCGGATGGGGGGCGTTTTGCGACATCAACGTAGGGGAGGACAGAAAGTTGCAAAATATACGAGCAATCTACCCTGCGGGCGGGAGTATATCAAGATAAAATTTTTCAACTACACAGCCTGTCAAGATAAGCTTAATTGATGACTCAGGACGACCCGTCAAAGAAATCCTCCACTTCCTCGATGAAATCCTCGGTAGCCTCCTCCACAGACTCCCACACGTCGTGGAACGAGAAGTGCGACTTGCTGGTAGGGGCAGAGTCGGAGTCGGAGACAGAGTCCGCGTCGTCCGCGTCCGAATCGTCATCGCTCGAATAATCGGGATCACCTTGTGCCGGTTTACCTTTTCCTTCCTCTTTGTCTCCCTTCCCTTGTTCTTTCTCCTTCTCCTTCTCCTTCTCCTTCTCCTTCTCCTTCTCCTTCTCCTTCTCCTTCTCCTTCTCCTTCTCCTTCTC